CACTAGACTACGAGATCATGTGCTGAACGACCATGATTATTTAATTTACTATATCTTTTTCACGAAGTTCATAATGAAAAAACGGTTATGGTAAGATTCAAACCATTGACTTATGTGCTGAACAGCTATGATTATTTAATCAAGTTGGTCTTTTTCACGAAGTTCATAATGAAAAAAACGGTTATGGTAAGATTCGAACTACCAATTTACCAATTGGGAGACCATTGTCTTTTCCACTAGACTACGAGATCATGTACTGAACGGCTATGATTATTTAATTTACTTTAACTTTTTCACGAAGTTCATAATGAAAAAACGATTATGGTAAGATTTGAGCCATCGACTTACCACTTGGGAGACCATTGTCCTCATCACTAGACTGTTGTTAGGAGACTATTGTCTTCACCACTAGACTACGAGATCATGTGCTGAACAGTTACCTAATATTTGATTTACTTTAACCTTTTAACGAAGTTCATGATGATAAAACGGTTATGGTAAGATTCACACCATCGATTTACAAATTGGGAAACCATTCTCTTCACCACTAGACCATGAGATCATGTGCTAAAGGGCTAAGATTGTTTAATTTACTTTATCTTTTTCACGAAGTTCATAATGAAAAAACGGGTATGGTAAGATTCGAACCATCGACTTATCACTTCGGAGACCATTGCCTTCACCACTAGACTACAAGATCATGTGCTGCAGGGCTATGTTATTTAATTTACTTTATCTTTTTCACGAAGTTCATAATGAAAAAACGGGTATGGTAAGATTCGAACCATCGATTTACCACTTGGGAGACCATTGTATTCACCACAAGACTATGAGATCATGTGCTGAGCGGCTATGAATATTTGATTTACTTTATTGTTTTTGACAACGGACATAATGAAAAAGGGTTATGGTAAGATTCGAACCATCGACTTACCACTTGGGAGACCATTGCCTTCACTACTAGACTACAAGATAATGTGCTGAAGGGCTATGATTATTTAATTTACTTTATCTTTTTCATAAAGTTCATAAAGAAAAAACGGTTATGGTAAGATTCGAACCATCGACTTACCACTAGGGAGACCATTGCCTTCACCACTAGACTTCAAGATCATGTACATAAGGGCTATGATTATTTAATTTACTTTATCTTTTTCACGAAGTTCATAATGAAAAAACAGTTATGGTAAGATTCGAACCATCGATTTACCATTTGGGAGACCATTGTCTTCACCACTAGACTACGAGAACATGTGCTGAACAGTTATTTAATATTTGATTTACTTTAACCTTTTCACGAAGTTCATGATGATAAAAGGTCATTATAAGATTCGAACCATCGATTTACCACTTGGGAGACCATTGTCTTCACCACTAGACTATGAGATCATGTGCTGAGCGGCTATGAATATTTGATTTACTTTAACGCTTTTGACAAAGGACATAATGAAAAAGGGTTATGGTAAGATTCGAACCATCGACTTACCACTTGGGAGACCATTGCCTTCACCACTAGACTTCAAGACCATGTGCTGAAGGCTATGATTATATAATTTACTTTATCTTTTTTAAAAAGTTCATAATGAAAAAACGGTTATGGTAAGATTCGAACCATCGATTTACCATTTAGGAGACTTCTGTCTTAACCACTAGACTACGAGATAATGTGCTGAACGGCTTTGATTATTTGATTTGCTTGAACGTTTTTGACAAAGTACATAATGCAAAAGGGTTATGGTAAAATTCGAACCATCGACTTATCACTTCGGAGACCATTGCCTTCACCACTAGACTACAAGATCATGTGCTGCAGGGCTATGTTATTTAATTTACTTTATCTTTTTCACGAAGTTCATAATGAAAAAACGGGTATGGTAAGATTCGAACCATCGATTTACCACTTGGGAGACCATTGTCTTCACCACAAGACTATGAGATCATGTGCTGAGCGGCTATGAATATTTGATTTACTTTATTGTTTTTGACAAAGGACATAATGAAAAAGGGTTATGATAAGATTCGAACCATCGATTTACCACTTGGGAGACCATTGACTTCACCACTAGACTATGAGATAATGTGCTGAGCGGCTATGAATATTTGATTTACTTTAACGCTTTTGACAAGGACATAATGAAAAAGGGTTATGGTAAGATTCGAACCATCGACTTACCACTTGGGAGACCATTGCCTTCACCACTAGACTTCAAGATCATGTGCTGAAGGGCTATGATTATTTAATTTACTTTATCTTTTTCACAAAGTTCATAATGAAAAAACGGTTATGGTAAGATTCGAACCATGGACTTACCACTTGGGAGACCATTGTCCTCATCACTAGGCTACAAGATCATTTGCTGAAGGGCTATGATTATTTAATTTGCTTTATCTTTTTCACGTTGTTCATAATGAAAAAACGGTTATGGTAAGATTCGAATCATCGATTTACCATTTGGAAGACCACTGCCTTCATCACTAGACTACGAGATCATGTGCTGAACGGCCAGGATTATTTCATTTTCTTTATCTTTTTCACGAAGTTCATAATGAAAAAACGGTTATGGTAAGATTCGAACCAGATTCGGACGTTCCTGGACTCGAATCCCAAGTTTTAAAAATGGGAGAACATTGCGTTCACCACTAGACCAGCAGAACTTCAGGAGTGTCACTACACTGTTTTATTTTTACCTATTTTATTTTACACAACCTTTTTTCGAAGGATTTTACGTAAGTTTAAATACGTTTGCTTTGATGATGATGATTTCTATTTTGTCTAAAACGCACAAACGTGAATCTTATTCGTAGCTTTAACCTAATTGATTCATTTGTGCTGACGCTACCGGGTGTTTTCAAAAAAAAGTACCTATTTTTAATTCAACATAACTTAAAAACGAACTAAAGAATTACAATAAAATAATCCATGTGTAGTTGAGTAATGTCTAACTTAAGGTTTGATATATTTCATATGAAGTTTGAGCAAATAGTTTCCGAGATATTCGTGTTTAAAGACACAGTAACGTTTTGAAATGTGTCAAAAATCAGCAAATAATGGCTTGTTAATTGCAACAATCCGATATCTACCGGGGCAATTTCCTGGTCGACTCATGAGTAAACGCGGCGATTGGCCATGGCCTCCACACTCCCCTGTCCTGACCGTGTGTGATTTCTTCCTCTGGGGCTATTTAAACAGCAGATTTGGGAAGTTCCTCATGACCAACAACCTCAAAACTTGGGAGATCTTCGCGAGGCGATTGTTAGGTTATGTCGCTATTTGGACGCCCACATGATTCAAAGGTCTTTTGATAGCATGCTGAAACGGGCAAGAAAGTGCGTTGCTGCTGGTGGACATGAATTTGCAGATGAATTAGAGCAAGTAAAAAACGATTTTTAAAAAAACAACTAAAAAATAAGTTACAAGATACCATGTTACGAACCCGTATTGTTGAAACAAGTTTAATAGGCCATTTTTTCCTGATTTTTCACAAGTTTCAAAACGTTTCTACGACTTTAAACGCGAATATCTCAAACACTACTCGTTCAAACTTCATATGTAATATATCAAACTTAGACATTACTCCACTTAATATGGATTGTTTGATTGCAATTCTTCAGTTTCCTTACAAGTTATGTTGAATTAAAAACAGGTACTTTTTTTGGGACACCCGGCATAATATCACAGGTATGGAGACCATTGAGAAAAGATGCAGCGTTATTTCACCATAAGCTAGTTATATGCGGCCCAGGTGAAGCAAATGGTTACGGTGCGATTGTTTTGTATTTTTAATGAAGTCAAGTCTGATTTCACAGGTCACAAATTAAAATTTGAGGAAAATGGTAATTCAGATTCATTAGAATGTTTCAACATTTTCCACTTATTTCATAGCTGAAATTGTACTCCAAATCTCCATTATAACGCAACAGATATTAAATAACCCTACTTCTCTTAAGCTGCGTTTACACGGTACCATCCGCTCGTCACAACATCTTCGTTTCCATGCAGCGTACACCTAAGATCCTATAAGACACAGTCACTGTCGGCCACAGCACGGCTACCATCCCCAGTCTGATTTATTTATATCAATTTCTTTCTTATATTACATCCCGTCAATTACGTATCACAATCGCTTAATCATCATATTCCTCTAGCAAATTGTAGTTACAAGATTATGTATTGCGATATGCATTATTTACGCAATCATTTTGATCGCGCGCCACACTTTCTTCTCACATTAGTTTTGGTCCCGAAAACGTTAAAAGTTGATAGAGAAACTACGATCAAAATCTCCCGATTCCTGACCGACACCGCAGAAATTGGTGTTTAAGACGTTTCAACCCGAAAATCTAATCGCTGGTTCACAATTGTGCATTTCTGTATCGCCCTATCAAAGAGAAACCTTTTGAATATCTAAAAAAGTTCAATTTTTCTTCTGAATACGCATTCTGCAATCTTTTGACAGCTCATCATACACATCTGACCGCTGTGAAATGGCCATTTTGAGGCTTAAAGTATACACAAGTTTATTAATTCAGACGATTCGTTTTTACCGTGAGCAAGCTTCAAATCTTTTGTGCAAGACATATTTTCTTGAATATTTATAAATCTTTTTCCTCACCAAGTTTGAAGTCTAAGTATCGAGAATTGCGGCTAAGCCTATACCAATTTCCGCGGTGTCTTCCTGACCAGGACAAACAAACCAGGACAAGCAAACTTTCCCTGCTCAGTAGGCATAAAGTAAGGTTTTAGATTGTCGTGATGGACCATGAACTCTCGACCTGTTTCTGATATAATCTTATAATTTACGCCTAGTCTTCCTAAAATAGTGTGAGGTCCAAGCTGTTTGGGACAGAATTTCCACTCCTTTGGCCGCCTAAGCCATACATGCTCAAGCCATACAAAATCTAGTTTCCTGCTGACCCAGCAAGTCCGACGAAGCGAGGAGTCCTCGGAAGGATCGCGAAAGTTTATGATCCTCTCGGGTTGATTTCGCCCATTTTTTGCAAGGAAAGTTCCTCTACCGCGAGTATTGTGACGCCAAGGTCCCCTGGGATGCCAAACTGCTTCGTGAGTTAGAAGCTAGATGGACGGCGTGGGAGAAAAGCCTACAGAGAACGTGACCGCACCAATTAAGGAGTCTAGCTAAGTTCCAGTAGCCAATTGAAGATACAGGTCATTAGATCAAGATCATTAGATCTGGTCGCACACGAAAGACAGTAAAACTTAGTGCTTTAGATTTTAACATATATTTCGAACAGTTGCGTTAAAATTAGAATTCAATCAAGTTCACATTTATTGGGACGGTGAACACTGAACGAGGCACAACTTTTTTTATTCTAATACTTTTTATATTATAATAGGGGGGGGGTGTTGGAAATCATGCGGAAATAGAATGATTATTATAATGCATGCAAACGTCATGGGTATAAATTAATACTGCATGGGGATCAATAGTAAGTAAGAAAATTGGATAATTAAGGACAGATTGGAAGTGAGGGTTAAACATAGCCTCTAAAGGCATTCCCAACACAGCCTCCTACTGCCATGAATGATCGGTCTTGCTAAAAACAAATATTATAGGTAAATAAAAATATCTACAATCCCTCGCGAACATCTTCGTCTTATATATTATAATTTCTTATCTTCGCTTTTACCTGGGAGAGTGTCCATTTCCCAGCTGCCTTGACAGACAGCGCAGCCTTGGAACACTCTGGCTTGAGATGCACGTGACTAGGCTGACCTTTGACTGTGAAACTCTCCGTAGTTGAGGAACTTTCCCGAAGCTGAGACTTGCTGACTTCGTCCCCGCGATGGGTTAATCCAGGACTGTCCTCGCCTAGTAGTTTCCAGACATCTTGTAACGACGCGCGGTCGTCTGATGAGAACGAAGGTTGCCATGGCGAGACGATTTCGTCACGAACAGTAGACGATTCCGGTAGGCCTGCTTTTTCTGCGAGTTCCGTGTTTGAAGAGTGTTTTTGAAGTTTTTGGGCCGACGCGGAATTCTTTTTCCGAGGAGATAGCGAATGCTGATCATTATTCCTCGCTAGTTTTCTCTGTGCATACTGCAGTTCTTTGCTTGTTAGTTCATATTGCAACTGTTCCAAACCCCGTAGTTGGGATCGGGATGTTTGCGCCACATTCTGCGGATCTTTGGACGATTGACGTGCCTCAATTGAAGGCGATTTTTTCCCTCCTAATATATAACGATAGAATAACATTCTAAAATCAAAACGGTGGCAGCGGTACACTAAATATAATCGATTTTACCACGAGATTACTTATTTCAGCATCTCTCATTATACCAAAGCCGCCACGCTGCAGAGAAACAAGAAATTTTCGAGTTCTCAATAATTGTAGTTTTGCTCAACTTCTATTATATAGGTTTAAACTTTTGTTCTTAACAATTTATCAAAAATGGTTTAAAGACGCTCTGCAAAACAATTTTATTTCATATTTCAATGCAAGGACGAATTAAACGAATGTTTAGTCCACCCGTTTTCGGTACATTTTCAAGTACAAGTTTAACTTATATCTTATCAATTAATATAACTTGCATGTTTTCTTTCAAAAGTTCCAATTGAAGTTTTTCGCCATATGCTTATAACCGACCGGCGTTTGCCCAGACGTTATTCCGCGGTGTTCTGGAGCCCGGTCACGTGTCACTACCCTACATGCGGTAGTGACGTAATCATCGCGGGATTTCTTTGCACATGCAGTTAGTCTTTTGCGAACAACAGAAGCTACGCATCATGATTATAGGAAAAATGTATTCAATTCATTCTTACAGTAATTTATTTCGACTAACGTATATATATTAATGCCATCTTAATAGATATTCCAAAATATCCCTTCAAATACCTTTATATTTCAACAATTCAGCTCTCAGCTTATTTCCCATTTTAATCAACTGTTCGCGTTCTTTTGTTACTCCATTTTTCCTTTGAGCAGCTTGACGTAGTTTGGTGTGTAATCCTTTAGATGACGATACTACTTTCATACCAGGGACTTCTGAAAAAAAAGGAAAACGTTTAAAATTCAAATCCTGACTAAATCATTCAGAATTTTATGAAGTGAATTTAGGGTTTGTTATGTGTTGATGAGAAATGTTGATGAGAGGTTTTCCAGCCGCAATCAATTTACTGTTTTGGAAAAGGTCGTAACTTACAAATTGTGAACGGGTTTGAATGAAATATAACTCCATAGACAGGCGTCATAGCTATATCACGCTATTTTAAGTGGATCAGAACAACAAGGGATATGCATTCTATATATGGTCTAACAACTGACAGTGGTTGGGTTACATCACAATCTATACGTTTGAATTAATTCAGTAGATTTAGAATGTTCTACGGCAGTCGTGATTTTTAAGATTCTAAACACAAATAAAGATAGTATTTCAACAGCGTCAGAAAGTACACTCACCTTTCTCTCGAAGGTCTTGTATAAACTGACTTTCTGGATTGTACGTATTCAAAGGTTTTCCGTGACTGGCAAGATCCAATTTTAATGCTGACAACTGCAGAAAATCATCTCCTGCCTGTCACACAATTCTTGACTAGATGTTGCTAATATTTCTACCTCGGGTAGTTTATCTGCGACAAACATTAACCCATACTTTCATAAACGATCTCTGCAGAAACTCAAATTTCTTTCTATAAACACTGAATACAAAAATTTCGGACATTACGCTCTCAAAACAGATAAATATCAAACGATTATCAGTAATTCTTCCGTATCCACACTATCTCCTGTAGGCTGTGTTACACTCACACTCATTGAGTGTGACATACAAATTTTGTCATCACCGATCACAGAGAAAGTTATTTCTTAATCGATACAAAGATGTAACGAAAAACACTGAAAATTAAGCTCTTATTCGAGTGGAAATACCGCCATGGAAATGTTATGACTCCCACTCAACAAGTTCGAGTGCGCGTTTAAAATACAATAGTTCCTCGCTAACTCGAACTCCCTAAGGAAAAGGAAAATTGTTCGAGTTACCGGGGGTTCGAGTTAACCGGAGTTGGTGTCATATTATGTTTATTATACACTGATTAACTTTTATTATTTCGATAGTTTCCGGTCCAGCATATGGCTGTCACAAGTGATATCTTAGGTTCAGCATTATAGCTGCTCGCTTTGTTGCTCAGTGAATCACCCAGGATGTTACTGACATTCCTGCCCTCCGGCTGATAACTAATTAAATCCTCTCTTAACTGCTTGCGGTTTTAAAAGCACATATAAATTTCGTTCGATCTTGCATTAACCAACAACACGGTAAAGTACAATTGAAAGTGGGTTCACCGTTAAGCTTCAGACTGTGATACATTTACACGTTTAATTGTTTTAATGTTATATACCTAAAGAATGTCTTTATTATATCCATTTTGCATCTGCGATCTAGTTATTTAACAATATCATTGAACTAACCTGGTTTCCTAATGATACAGCATCAATATTTCTCTCCAAACCCGTTTTGTAAAATTCGTCAGCCTGGCGTCTTTTTTGGGTTACCTGCAGCTTGAGACCAGAGTTCTGCTGCTTCAAAGCATTCATTTCTTCGTTGGCCTGACGATTCCCTGTTGTCAACTGATAGTGAAGTTGATATGTTTAGTTGCTTCTGACGAACCTGAAAAAAGAAAGTGCGTTGATCATCAATGCTCGACACAGGTTTCTAAAATCCAGGAATGTAGCACTCGAAAACCAGCCCCATTTACACTATAGACTAAATTTATCGGCACGACATATGTTACTGCTAATAAATACACACAATAAAAATGCGAGAACATACATCACAAACATTCTCAGCGATGACGGATAAAAATACAAGTGCATTAAAACAGAAGTCTATAGCCATTTAGAGAAGAAGACTCACCTCTTCTGAAGAATGATGAAGTAAACATTGAAGATGAACGATCATTGCTTTACATTTTCCCATTGAGGTATAAGTTTTTCCTCTTGGCGTAAACAGGGCGCCTATAAGATAGGGCGGCGAAACGCACGGATGGCGTGTTGAAACATGTGTGATGTGCGGACCCCCCATAAAGATTCGAAAAACTGTTTTCAAAATGGCCGGGTTACTTAGAAGACGAAGAACTTGAGATGATTATTAGTTTGGATGACACTGATCTGGAAACAGATGACACAAATTCGTCATTTCCAGTTGGAAATACTGTTAATTTCAATGTAAATAAGATAATTGCTGTTCTTGAAAGGGTTTCTTCGTGTTTTTTATACTCGTCCAAGTCCGCTGGTTACCAAGACAAGTTTGTAAACATGGTTCCGTTTTATGGTTGTCGTTTTCCAGAGAAAATTGTGAAAAAGGTTCAAAACATTATGCGACTATTTGCACGTGGAATCGATGTTAATGAACAAGAGAGTTATTTTCTAAATTTCCCAGCTTTAGGAGCTATGGCAAGGTTTTCAATTTTTTAATGGAAATTTTGTATTTTGAAAATTCGAAAACGTTGTTGTGACGCGGTCAAATGCTCCTGCAAGTAAGTTAGCATTTTCTTGTTTTGTTTTTAGCTTGGCTAGGTCGACATTGCCATGACGAAAGAAAAACATATCATATTTTCAATTCGGAACGTTATCTAAGTATATAATATAATTTAACGGGATTGCAAAAAAGGTTCAAAACGTTGTGTAGTGAAATTTGCTACAAATGTTCGTCAATATTCTGGACACCAAATCTTGAAGTATAATGCTTTTGGGGATTTTCCTCACTGAGAAAAATCAAATATGTATGATACATCTAAAAACAGACCAAGTAGCCGTGCGTGTCCGTAGTTTTAATTTGACAAATTCGGTCAGTTAACTTTTGAAGAAACAATTTTAAGACACAATATTAATAGAAAGAGTTATAAATTACACAGGAGAAATCTTATTTTAGATGTCGCGTTAATAGCTTCAGAGATTGAGTGGTTTTAATCGAGCTTGTTAAAAACCAAGTAAATATTGTTTCGCTCGAGAATTTTTCGCCGACCGCCCCGTCCCAGTCCTAAAATCGCATCACAATGTTTCAACACGCCATCCGTGCGTTTCGCCGCCCTATCTTATAGACGCCCTGGCGTAAACTACCTAAAGACGTGCAAGAATATATTGTGAAATAGGCAATTATATTATATACCTTATCTGAAATTCTAGTCGGTTAATACAGAATGCCTTTCGTGCGATTCCCACAATTTAAGTTACCATGGTCAATAGTACAATGCGATTGGAATATCAGCTCTTACAAAATCTTAATCCTTGATACTCCAGTTGTGTCTTGCAAAAAAAATACAGGCATTTTTTTTCAAATTTTCACTCGGGTAAATTCTCAGGGCTAATCAACATGCTATAGTGTTTTTTTTAATGACCCACAAAATTACGTAACTTGAAAGTCAAATATTTGACTTAACGGAAATATTTGCAGTAAAGATAGTGAACAGTTATGTAACTCGGTGTAATAAATCAGCATATCGAGGCAATGTATGTAGGGGTTGTTTTTTATATACTATACCCGCGTGCGGAGCGAAAATCCGCAGAAATTATTCAGGACATTGTAGGTTTAAAATTTGACATTAGACACAGAAAACTAATTCAACGTTCAACTATAACTATTCAGATAACACAATGAAAACTGCTGGGTATGCGGGGATGAGGTAATGTTTCAATTTAATGATGCTATGTTTAAGCTTTGTAACTTCTTGAACTGCTGTTGTATGGTTGAACTTTGTTATCTACCACTTACCGATTGTGCTGTTCAGCTGTGCCACCAGACCTCTTACATGAACATTATCCTTACTTCAATCTAAAACGTAAGTTGGCTCAGTATTTTCAGTTTTAGCATTTGTATTAGCCATGGATTGGGTCAGTTCGCGGTTTCTCGCCTTCACTTCTCAAATTTCTTTTTTCAGACTTGTCACATATTCTGAAATGTTTAGTAAAGAAATACCAGATTAATTCCATTCACACTGATCTTTGTTACGATCACTATAACGATTAGTCATTCTAAAAATATGTCTTTCAAAATACAGAAGCTATATATGTACAGTAGAACGGGGATTGCCTAATAAGCCCCGGGGGGTCAAACCCAGGCTACAGTAGAGTAGCTATATTAAACATAAGGTTTTAAGAAAAAATTAAATTCATCCATGCATAGAAAACAATCTGGCTTTATATTTTCGAAATTGTTTTGTTATGAAATATTTTCCCGCTTTATTATCATTTAATTACCTTCCGTAATGGGTACGCCATCTCTTGCATTAGTAATCGATCCAGTGGTACGTTGCGTCAACTGTTTCGTCAAATCCTCCATGTCCTCTCTCATTTGATGAATAACAGACGCAAATTTTCGTTCTGAACTGGAAGTTCTTTATTATTCATATTCGCTGCTGGTGTGCCAACATCTTCGACTGGTGAAACATGCATGACTGATAAAATCTAGAGAAATGATAAAATCTTGCGAAGCAATGGGAGAGGTATCGATGTTTAAGAATTAAAAAACGAGTCGCGTGCCTTTATGGTGTAATAATGCACGATGGGGGAATGTTGGGAGAATACGAGAGAAGCTTGTAAAACACGAGGCGTAGCCGAGTGTTTTACAAGCTTCTCGAGTGTTTTACAAGCTTCCCGAGTGTTTTACAAGCTTCTCAAATCCTCCATGTCCTCTCTCATTTGATGAATAACAGACGCAAATTTTCGTTCTGAACTGGAAGTTCTTTATTATTCATATTCGCTGCTGGTGTGCCAACATCTTCGACTGGTGAAACATGCATGACTGATAAAATCTAGAGAAATGATAAAATCTTGCGAAGCAATGGGAGAGGTATCGATGTTTAAGAATTAAAAAACGAGTCGCGTGCCTTTATGGTGTAATAATGCACGATGGGGGAATGTTGGGAGAACGAGAGAAGCTTGTAAACACGAGGCGTAGCCGAGTGTTTTACAAGCTTCTCGAGTATTCTTCCAACATTTCCCCGAGTGCATTATTACACCATAAAGGCACGCGACAAGCTTTTTTATTCTTTTATAATATAAGAAGAAATTATAGGGCAACAACAAAATTTATTTATTTGATCAATAATGAAATTCTTCTTACATGTTATTAAAGATGTTGCTTAGCAACAAAAACTTCAAAAGCCAGAAGCGTGCATTATGGCCCAGTGAACTCTAATAAGACTGGAACGATAACTCAACAATAAAGACTAGTCATTGGATGAAGCCGATTTGAATATAATTTGCTGATTAAGGCGGCAGCCGAGCGAGCAAATCAAGCCTTCAAAAGAACTGGGGAGAGTGAAAATTCCGTAAAAATCGTATTTTTTGGCAAAAAAATTGCGAGAAAAGTGCAATTTTTATTTGACCACTTCAACTTTAAACAACGAATTTACCCTTTTTGGATAGACCTAAGTACCGCATCATCTTACTGTAAAAACCGGCGAGGTACCAGCTTTGTACTTAAAATATTTAAAGAATTTGAACGGGCCGAAAAAAAACTTCGCCTTCAACTCGCAAAAAAAATAGGTTTGCACCTTTTCACGTTCATAAAACTTGTTTTTTAGTAAAATCTAAGTGTCAATGCTTGTTTTAAGCTTTTATTCATGATCAGATGAGAAGGATTTGTGTATAAAAACCGGCGTTGTTTTGGTGGTGTAATTTCAACTCTTGGCCTTCATGGCGGCCATCAGTGCTGGCTTCAAAGATGGCGGCCAAGTTATCGTTCCAGTCTTTTTAGAGTTCACTGTTATGGCCTCACAATGCACGCGCGGTAGCCAATCAAATTGCTCGTTATATCATACTTATATTATAAAAAGGTTTCAGATTCGCGAGCGCAGGGTAGGTCCTCAATTACATCAGTACAAACTGAAAATAATTTTGGAATGTGTCAAGTGTTTCGGCAATGAAGAAAAATCGCGTTATTACTGCCGGCGTCAGCACGGAGTTGAAAATTCGCCTCGGTTTTGTTTGTTTTTGTTTCTTTTTTTTTTTTTTTTTTCGTCGTGGCAAGTCTGAAATGGTGCGAAATAATACTAGTGTTTAAAATGTGTATGTGATTGCATTTATCTATGTCCCAGTCTTGTCTCCCAAGAGTTGTGGTGCACAGCTTTGGCTAATTTTCCGATGCGCGATTCGATTTCGCTCGCATGATACAGCAATTCCTCCAAGAGGAACAAATAAACCGTTCTTTCATGCTTTTCGATTAAGTTTAGATTGAATTGGGGTAAGAATATATTTAATACATGTAGATTCTGGTCCTATTTTAGTAATATCGCTGCTATTTCGCCGTTTAACAAGATGATGTGGTCGTGTATGGGCGCTTTGACTCGTCATAGTTTGCACAGGATTGAAGAATTAATTAACTATACAAGCGCGAATTCCAAAGGCAAAGTGTTAAGTGTAAGACAAAGCGAATGTATCATGCGTTTATTTACATTTTTGAACAATTGAACTTCTATACTTTTTAAAGTACGATGTGCTTCTGAATTTGCGATCGAACAACATTTAGGTTCGCAAGGCATTTAAATGAATATGATTTATATGAACTGTATTGTTTATGTTCAGAAGCTTTATATTGAAGACTGGCACGTGCACGGCACGCCGGAGTTAACGCCAGAACAGGCGTCTTGTTTCAGTGAAAATTACATGCGCGTTAAACTTCGAGTAATATAATCAGTAAGGTTTCGAAAACTAAGATATTTTCGTTTGATATTTCGTCCGCATCTAAAGTTTATACATCTTGCGACAGTTACCTCGTTAAGCACATCAATTGGCTTTTAAGTATAGCCACTACGAGAGGAGCATGATTCGACTTGCAATCTATTTTCAACAACTTTATTACGGCGAATAACGGAGACTGAATTTGGAATCGATGAGTTCCTGTTACCACTGCATACAATCATTAGTTGAATTACGAATTTACATAAAGAGACTCTATATACATAGTTGTGGTATAGAAGAACAATCTCAAAAGATGTCTCATTTGGCACCAATGTTTTAAATCATTTTTAAAATTTCTCGAGGATTTTACACCCCGTCACACCTTGTACAAAATTTTGTTCAATTTACATCATTTCCTCTATTTGTGTTAATCTGCCCAGCTGGAAGAGCTAGGGCCCATATACGCCGTATAAAAACCGAACGCTAAGCGTTTACAATCTACCTACAATCAAGGTGTAAAACTCACCTGATATTTGGGAAGGCACGGTTAGTCCATGAAGCTTGAGGATAGAAACTGATTCATCTCTTTGTGTCTTCAAAATATGGATAACACTATCCTTGTGAAGCAGTTCACGTTTCTGTTGTTACACCAACGATAACGCCTGATGTGAAAAAAATACAGAAGAGTTCTATCAACCTTAATGTTGACGTTGAAGTCCCTGATGATCAGTTTAGTAACATTAATATCACTTCATATGGACCTTGTAGGGCTGAAACTTTAACGGGATTCCAAATTGAAAAAGGGTAGGGGTAGAGGCAATGGAAAGGGGTGTAAAATTTTATTTTTACAATATTTTATATATTCACCTCTTCTTTGCCTTGTGTTAAATTCTTAACTAGTTCTCCTTGTTTATCATATGTACGTTCTTTCTTCCTATTCATATCTGCGCTGCCAATCTAACTCTAGCTCAGCCCTAGAACGTTCCAACGACGACTCTCTTTCCAAAGATAAAGACAACTCTTTCTGCCTCCTAAAGAAAAAAGTTGGATCAAGACCTGAATTTACATCTTTAATAGAAATCTTCAATACGATACACGACTAGTAATATCAACACAAAATAGGATTCGTAAATTGCGGGTATGTTTTTTTTAAGATTTTCGATCAAACTTTTTCACTTTTTTCTTTACCTAAAAAATCGTTTGTTATCAATCCTTATTTATACTGTAGTACAATATTAATGAACACATATTTGCACTTCAGCTCAGCGAAGGAGGTGTTTTAGACGGATGGATTGAATGGCTTCAAATAATGGCCAGGTTTATCTGACCAGATATGTTTAAGCCCATGAAAAATCAACCTCATACGGTGAGCCTGCATGCATTATTGAGGAACGTTTTACGATAGGTCGGAATTTAAAGACAATCGAGAAAACAAAGTTATATTCAACGTTTATTCGAACCTCTCAAAATTATTTTTTCTCCGCGCGAGTTCAGATCTCATATTGGCATCCTGTTGATGCAACGTTTCCAGTTCAACATCCTTTGCTACAGTTAATCTGGAATATTCCTGGTTCTGTTAGTCCATCTTGCTCTTTAAGTTTGCGATTGATTGATTTAGCCTGTGTAATAAAAAAAAATCACTTGTCACCTGTAAAAAGTCGTTCCTCTCGAATTGTTAAAAAGTTGTCGAATTTCAACATCAACTTGTTCAAAAGCACTATTCTTGAACGGATGAATTCATGAAAGTCATAATAAGGCCTTCCTACAGCCCAGTATTATAGGTTAAATATGGTTTCTCGGTTCAAAAGCGGATATATTCTGAGTTTTGAAATAGACATGCCCTGTGGCAGAACTTAGGTTTGTGAAAATAAACTAGAACAGCTCACATTTGGATACTGGACATATTGAGAATTAAAAATATTTTCAAAAAAAGCTACTCGTAGACACTAGACACGAGTAATGAACCTTTGGAGGTTCACAATCAAAATAAATAATGCATTTCGACTTACGCCAGATCCACCAATGAACATATATTGGTACAGAAATCAGAAATTATGCAGAATGTGAATGATTTAGGTAAGAACCCATTTCAATATACATGGTCTTGTCCCCCGTCCCTCCCCCCCTGAGGAATTTCATAAAGCTTACGTCTGTATTGTGACATCATTTTCCTACAGTTTGTCCACAAGTCTCCATTCCCTTTGACGATGTTCCTGTTCTTTAGCTTCGAGTTGGTTTTGTAATTTGCGAATATTCTGTTGAAGTTGTCTTTCTTCCTCAGTGAAACCCTGGAATGAACAATCAGAGGTTTAAATAATGTTAAAGCATCATTGGGATGATCGATATATAGCTAATATACCAGGAGTGTATATACGGCTGTACATATTGTATTGTACAACCATAGGAAGCCCAGACAAATGAGTTGAAGTTAATAAAACTCCGTAAAACACTTGAGATATGTGTTAAAATTAATCAAAGTATGTTATATGCTACAAAACTACTGTTAGAACCATGTATGTAGCGTGCTCCAGTGGCGCTGCCATTTGACTATGCAACTAGTGACGTAACTTACTATATTATTGGGAAGGATGGAAACTCTCGCCTCATTTTTTAACATGTTGACGAATTAAAACACAAATTACTATAGTAAAACGGCACGTCGACTGCTAAATGCCTACCGTAGTTTTAAGTTGAATAATCAAACTATACTTTCATAATAAAAATAATGCTGAATGCAAAAGAAAGCGCTGGAAAACGTACACAAACTTTGTAAATTTGCCGAAATTTACGTGAATTCATGCGGGATGTAAGTACCTACCCAAAATGGCGGCGGCAAAAGAATCTGATTGGTCAATCATTCTTTGTTTACCTTTCTCGACCAATCAGATTGGTTTATCATACTTTGTTTACCTTTCTCGACCAATCAGATTCTTCTGCGCCGCCATTTTGGGTAGGTACTTACATCCCGCATGAATTCACGTAAATTTCGGCAAATTTACAAAGTTTGTGTACGTTTTTCCAGCGCTTTCTTTGAATTCAGTATTATTTTTGTGATGAAAGTATAGTTTGATTATTCAACTTAAACCTAGGGTAGGCATTTAGCAGTCGACGTACCGTTTTACTATAGTGATTTGTGTTTTAATTTGTGAACATGTTGAAAATTGAGGCGAGAGTTTCCATCCTTCCTAATAATATAGTAAGTTACGTCACTAGTTGCATAGTCAAATGGCAGCGCCTCTGGAGCACGCTACATACATGGTTCTAACAGTAGTTTTGTAGCATATTACATAATTTAAATAATTTTAACACATATCTCAAGTGTTTTACGGATTTTTATTAACTTCAACTCATTTGTCTGGGCTTCCTATGGTACAACCCAATTGTTGCGTCTTTTCAATAACTAGACACTCAAAAAACTACCACAAAGAATTAATGTTTGGTATCTTGTTCTACGTGAACATTTCTTTGTTGGGGTTTTGTTCATAATGAAGCGACTTGCAAATCGCTGTAACCACAATGTTAAGGCCCTGTTACACTGCGCAATTTTTCTTGCAACTTGCAGTGCAATTCTACTTTTGAAAGATGTATGTAAATTTGGGAATAACAAAACTTTTGTGTTCATACACTTCACGCACTTTTCTTCTGCAAGACTAATAATTTAAATATCTTAGCAGTGCAATTGCATTGCAAGTTGCAAGAAAAATTGCACCGTGTAACATGGCCTTTAGTACTAATTACCAGTGAATTCGAATTATGGCAGTCTGAAAGGAATGTCTAAATAGAAATCCATTCTGCAGAATTTCATAGATTTTATTTATCAACAAACCAAACTTAAATGCAATTCTCATGCAACATGCAATGATCATAGTTAACTGGTTTGAGTTATTCGAAAAACAGGTCATTTGATCTGAAGGTTATGTTCATCTAAATAATTGTTAATGAACAGGCATATTGAGGTTTTTATGGTCTTAGGCAATGGAAAATTTTCTGAAAAATTTCACAATCTAGAGAACAAAGGTCCTGTGTTTCTTGCCATTTGCCGAGGAAAAGTATGGGGTCTACTGCATTTTTCCATTGTATTAACACCAAAGTCTTTAAACACAGACATTTAAGACAGCTTGTCAGGTTTAAAAGCTGTAAGTTAATCTGCTGAAAATGTGTCAGATTTGGTGGAAACAGTATTAATTTCATGTCCAGAGTCAACAAATATAATCCTTGATTCTAATTAAAATCCTCTAGTATAAGTAAACAGCAAAAAGTCATTTTCATATTTCAAGAAAGAAAACTCATTTTAATGAGTTCAAATTTTTTTGAGAGAATTATAAGAAAATTTTCTACTTTTTTTCTTAAGAAAATTTTCTTAAAATAAGAAAAGTTGCACACAAATAATTTTCAGTTTAAGAAAATTTTCTTGAAATTAGTCCAAAATTTCTTATAGAATGTTTATAATGAGAAAAATTTTCTTAAGAATTTTTCTTAATATAAGATATATTTCCAAGAAAATATTTTCTTATTATAAGATAAGTTAATTCTCAAGAAACCCTAGAAACTCTGACATGATATTTTGTTACATGTATGAATGTAATGTAAATTTACTAAAATATTCATGAGTCATAATATAGAAACACAGCAGACATTAATACATGAGAATTATAGGTCCTACATGATAATATAGAAATATAGAGAAATGATCATATATAATATTGCACCAGGCTTTGAAGGTTTTGTATTTGTCCAGTGCTTATTTGACATGTTTTTAAATATCAATTATTGCAGTACAGATCAATTATTGCAAAAGATTTTTGTCGTCCTTAAAATCAGATGAGACATCATCAGATAAAGTTGAGAGTAAATAATTTAAAAATTGTGAAGTAAATCCTAAGTTCACACTTAAAATAAAACTTTGCAATCGTGTTAGGAATTGAGTACATCAAACAAAAAATACTAGTAAATAATAATTTAGCTACTGTGGGGAATTTTAAGCTATTCTTTAGCTATCCCCTGCTATACCGGCATCTTTAAGAAAACTACTTTAAGACTATTATCAAATATGCCCATCCTTAAACCCATTCTACACTGCTTTTCTACCTCCCTATGATAGTGTAAATTCCAATCAATTCACCATGTAAATGCATGTAATTGATTCAAACAATATATAGATAGAGGTCTTATCCAATGAAATCAAATTGTGTTAAATCCAAAAACTGTCCCTAACAAGATATGGATGGATAAATGTATCTGAAGGCAAAAAGAGAGCTTTGTGATAATTTTAATGATATAGGCAGACTCTGATGCACAATTTATACCCTTTGGAACAGTCCCAACCCTGCTGTGGAGAAGCACTGTTACATTAACCCCTCTCGATTTAGTATCAATCTGAAAATATAACTCAACTCTTTATAATATCCTACATTTCAAACAAAGACATTAGAAACACTGCCATATGCTGCTCCTTCGTTATATATATCACAACATTGGACTATTCTATTTTGCTCCTCTGAGGTATTCTAGCCAGGCCATAATTGCTGAGGAATTCTAAGGTATTGTTTAGCTATCCCTACTATAGCCAACTATTTAACTATATAAACAGATAATAACATGGAAAATCATAGCGCAAATCATTGAACGATGAAAAAAGACCTAAATGCAATTCTTGATCTATAATAGGGTCGAATAAAGGCTAACGAAGGCTAACAAATAAAGGCTTATACGTTGTATATATATAATAACACACTCGATCAGCATGTTGGCATATGACATCATGAAACATCAACTCACCTTATTAGATACCACAAATTTGCGCCGATATAGTGTATATTTTTTCACATCCTAAACGTCCATATCTTTATCGGTAATATATAAAGTAAATAACAAGATAGAAATCCATATTCGCCATAAAAAAACAATATTTCTTTGATATGCATTTATAGCGTTATAGGTTGTTTCGCTTAGTATTCAAATATCCCTCGTGGTCTACGCTCGAAAAGCATAATGGGATAAATAGAATAATCAGGCTCTGCGTCAGGCTGGACCATACAATTATCAGTATTAAACCTTTGAATGCTTTGAATTTTCTCACGCCGGATTTCTGTAAATGAAAACAGCATTTTGCAAACATTATATTATGACTTTCTTCTATTTTAATGGTTCTTGACCGAACATGTCACGCCATGCTTGTAAAGTGCAAGTACGAAAAGCTTCATTGTTGACTAGGGCATTTTTACTCATACTCATAATTAGATAAATTAATAAAATCATAAATATATATATATATATATATAATATTATATATATATTATAATATATATATATATATATATATATATATATATATATATATATATATATATATATATATATATATATATATATATATATATATATAATAGTTATGGTGTTCATGAGGTTTAGAAAACAAAAACATCCTGATAACAGATCTCAAAAAAAGATACGAGCCTCGGATGTTTTACAAGAAACGTGTGTTTCTTGACGTTTAGGTCAGCGAAGGTGTCGATTTTAGTGATATCAACGGTCGTACTGTCGTCATAACTGGACTACCATATCCACTGGCTTTTGATTCAAAGGTGGTTTCAATTAACCACCTAGCTAATGCTGTTTTAATATTCGCAAAAGTAAATTGGGAAACGAGTATCTTTTGAATATCTTTCATCCGATAATAGAAATACGCTTGGATTTCTGGTTACTCAAGTTTGATTTATTAATAATATGGCTTTTCAAGATCCTCTACTCTGATTGGTTGGTCGTAAAACACATATCCGTCGGTCAATAATCAGTTATTATTACTCCAACAATCGTAAAAATCCATTATTATCTCTAGACATCTTCTCCAAAGTTCAAAAACATTTTTTTGTTTTCCCTCGCATTTCAGGTGGAATTGAAAAAACAATTCCTAGATGAGGTGGTAAACAAAAGAGAATTTAAGGTTGGTTATAAAGTGGTTCTAATCATTATAATTTTTTTAAGAAATAAACGAAACGAGGAATATGTGGCAATTCGGAACTCCAAAGTTAATTTAGCCCGTGTTCAAATCTCTATATAAATTCGTGACTGTATATAATCTCTGAGTCATATATAATTGTTTATTCCATTACTACCACAATAGTTTCATAAACTTTTTCTGAGTCAGGAACAAATTTATTTAACTCATAATCGTGTATTTTTATGGATTAAATGGTCAACAATGGTATGGTCAGCGGGCATCTCGAGCTGTCAATCAAGCCATTGCTCGTGCATTTACGTCGTAAAAAAGATTTTGTGACGATTTTGGGTCGGATTACACAAAACTCTGCTAGATGACCCGCATATCCGTTCTAATCTGATACCTAGGCTCATTTTCCAAGGTTCTGCCAAGAAAGAACAAAAGCGGAACTGCCAAAAATGATGTAGCGGTATATTTGTATATATCCGACGTTTGGAGGCCTTCAGAGAGAGTTCAGACGAGCAACTGAATTAGTGAGTTCTTAATTGAACTATAATAAAGAACCTATAATAATTTTTACGCCACATCAATAACTTGAAACAGCTTATAAGATCAATGGTTGTACTCTGACGAACATTGCTATCCGTGAATTGGTTAAGTTTTTGAAGAACGAAAATCATGAGAGTAACGACCGTGAACTTACTAAACTATATTTGAGTGGCAATCGTTAAACAGCTGAAGCTGCTAACGATTTATGTGATGCTCTGAAGAGTGGCACCTGTAAATTTACCAAGCTAAATGTAAGAGGCAGTGGTTTAACAGCTCAATGTGCAAAATATTTAAGTGATGCTCTAAAGAGTGGCACCTGTAAACTTACCAAGCTAATTTAGCTAAATGTAAGAGGCAGTGGTAATAAACTGCATGTAAGTGGCAATAATTTAACAGCTCAAGGTGCAAAATATTTAAGTGATGCTCTGAAGAGAGGTAGCTGTAAACATAATAAACTAGATGTAAGCGGCAATGGACTAACAGCTCAAGGTTCTGAATATTTAAGTGATGCTCTGAAGAGTGACAACTGTAAACTTACTAAATGAGATGTAAGTGACAACGCTTTAACAGCCGAAGGTGCTAAATATTTAAGTGATGCTCTGAAAAGTGACAAATGTAAACTTACTAAATTAAATGTAAGTCGCAATGGTCTAACAGCTGAGGGTGCTAAATATTTAAGTGATGCTCTGAAGAGTGACAGCTGTAAACTTACTAAACTAGATGTAAGCTAGTGTCAATGATTTAATACCTGAAGGTGCTAAATTTTGAAGTGCATGATGCTCTGAAGAGTGACAACTGTAAACTGATTTACTAAATGTAAAGTCCTAGTGGCTGCAATCAGTTTAAAACGCGTAAAATGTTGTCAAATGTTCTTGTTGAGACTTACGACGACTTGCCTCTTGTACAAACAATTTTTTTTTCAAAAAATTTTTTTTCCCGATATTTTTGGTCGATTATATTTTGCCCAACTGGATGAGACGTTTTATGAGACAAAAGATAAAATGCAAATTTTCAGCCCAGACTTTCATCGCTCTCTTTCGAATGTGTTAAGTCAAGCTCATCTAATGGATTAGTTCCGCCTTATTACTCGGGCTACCGTAGGTAGCGAGGTTGCCGTAGGTAGACGGAGTTATAAAATGGGCTCGGTTTTTTCTTTTGCGTCGCGAGTTTACAAAAATCACGCGTGGGCGGCACGAATTCTTCGAACCAACCGAAATCGTCCTAGGATCGTTTCTCGCGCGGGTGTCACGAACATGCCATGTCACTACGAGATAACTGTAGCCCGAGTGATCCGTGATCGCCTGAGTAGGCATCTTGTTGTTTATATTTCAAAGAAAAGCGATCGCAAAAAGTCGATCAAGCGACATTTTGCACCGTCTGGAAATCCGCCTTAAAGCCTAGTTTCGATAGTGAAGTCGTTGTCTTTCGCTACCTGTCGTTTGGAGTAACCTTGAAAGACCAATATACCGATACAGAAAAACCGAAAACGACAGTGTCGTTGGGATAGAAAAAACCCCTATCTCAAAGACGTATAACGACAAGAAACGACAAAATTCTGGTCAAAGCGGTCCGGTGACATACAGAAGAATCTAAAATTTATAACAAATAAGTATGGAATATTGTACTAAGTAGAAAAAACTTATATGAGCATAAACAAATTTAGTTGAAGAAGAAACTCCTTGCTAAGGGCCTCCTTTTTGTTTTTGGTATAGTGACGATGTACGAAACTGTCGTTTTCGGTTTTTCTTTGTCGTTATCGGTCTTTCAAGATTACTCCAAAGACTCCGAAAGACACGTAGCGACAGATAACAACCTTATGGAAACTAGGCTTCAGTAAACAAAGTAAGCGCAGCACGCGCGCGAGTATCACACGTGCATTGCTTAAAAAAGGGAATTAGAGTTTGTAGTCTTTTTTATAGTATTCTCCAAATTGTAATTCTAATAAGTATTTTGTAGTTTATTATTGTCCCCGAGCCGGTGCGAAGCACCGGGCGAGGGTACTAATTCCGCCCGGAGATTTTGATTACGCCCGGGAATGCAAATGCGAAATGAAAGTTGTCCGCCATTATGTCATGGACGTTGGGCGTTTTAGTAAGTTATGCGCATGCGTGAGTTTAAGACGAGTTAAAACTGGTAACCAGCAAACGTTTGCAAGCGTGCGATTGGCTAAATTAAAATTTTGGCTCGCGACAGCATAACTGATATTTTGAATTATAAAACTTTTTTTAAAATATTTTTCATTTGGATTGTTTTGAAAATATACGGAAAAATTCACTCGTAAAAATGATTAAAATGTAAAGTAGATTATGCTTTCGGGTAGAAAAACTTTGATTGAAATAGGTGGTGAAAAATCTACGATTTTAAAGCATTTTTGGAGCGTTTTTGAGCAGGTAAACAAGTAGATTTTGTATTATAAAGCATGCAAGTATTTCGTAAGTTTAACGTAGATTTATCAACAAACGTACGACACACCACCTTGAATTTATTCGTCAATTTCGTTAAAAAGATTTTGATTGGGAAAGCATTCATCTTTAAAGGTCAATCTGTTTAAAAAGGAAACGAAATTTCGCTAAAAATTGTAGTATTTAAAACTATTCGTAGCGCAATTAATGAATTACGATTATAGTTGAATGTGCATGATAGCTCGAGAGTCGACTTTATAATTGTACCAAGATATAGGACTATACTTATACGGCTTCGATCATTCAGCAGAAAACGAGTATTACAGAATTTCAGTGATGGAAATATACGTTTATTGCTTCAGGCGAGGGGACTTTGCATGCAATGTATTTCTAGTAATTTCACTAATTTGTATGGTAAATTTCTTTGTATTAATTGAAAGTTGTATGTAAACCAAAACTACGTACGGCCCGATTTTTGGTGGACTGTTCAGACAACCCGATATTTTTTTGACGGGCTTAGGGGGAGGTAGGTGGCCTGCGTAAAGAAACGTAATGGTGTTTCAACCATAAACAAATTCCCAAAATGAGATTTAAATCAATGGGTTTAAATGGCTGACGAGGAAGCTAAGAAACTTGCTGCTGCTGCTGCTATCTTGGTTGCCGTTACGTTGTGGTGAAAAGAAGAAAGGCACGCAAAGACAGGAAACGTAATATGTGGCAAAAGAGTTGGATTGCCAGAAGAAACGAAAGAGGCGCTTATCACGCCCTCGTCCAAGAAATGAGGCTCGAAGACGAAGAAAGCTAACGAGGGTATTTGAGGATGGACACAAATACATTTGAGGTATAAGCCAAGCCAAGTTAAAAGATATGTGTTTTTAAATTTTCTTTAGTATCAGTTTCGTGTTGGGAAGTCAACAATTTCTGCTTTGATACCTGAGGTGTGCAATTTATAACCAACTTTGAAGTGAAGTTCTTCGTAACACCAGAACTATCAGTCAATCCGGGAGCAGTGAAGTTCTTCGTAACACCAGAACTATCAGTCAATCCGGGAGCAGCAGCCATGTATGTTATCTAATTTTTCGCACCAAATTAAATTTGGAAAGTATGGAGAGTGAAAACGTTTCAGACGTTATGAAAACGTTTCAGACGTTTTTAAACAGGGATAATGTGAAGCCTTGCCGTTTCGGTAGTCCAACGTGCAGTGTAATATTATCCCAACACGAGGAATATTGTCATAGATTGCTTGCATCCGAACCAGCTAGTTTTTGTTGACGAACCAGACATTGTAAGTATATGACACCATTTTATTTCCTTGTATTTAAAAGTCACAACAGAGTGTGTCTCTTATTCAATGTCCTTTAATTCGTGTTACTGTAAGGCAAGCAAATAGTTCAGCAATATGGATATAGTGCTCGAGGAACGAGACCTGTTGTTAGACCTGTTGAGACTTATATATATACTTGTACTTGTAATTTTTGTACAATTCATATATGTACTTTTACTCTTAATGAGCCATGTGTTCACTTGTGGGGTTATAGGGAATACGTGTTTTATATAATGCCATCTTAATACAGTAGTCAGTAGATACCAAAACATCCTTTAAAATACCTTTATATTTCAACAATTCAGCTGTCAGCTTATTTCCCAATTTTAATCAACTGTTCGCGTTCTTTTGTTAATCCATTAATCCGTTGAGCAGCTTGACTTCTTAAAAAAAAGGAAAACGTTTAAAATTCAAATCTTGGCTAAGTAGTTCAGAATTTTATGAAATGAATTTAGGGTCTCTTATGTGTTGATGAGAAATTTTAGGTTTTCCCGCCGCAATCAATTTTCAGTTTTGGAAAAGATCATAATTTACCAATTGTGAACGAGTTGGAATGAAATATATCTACGTAGACTTTTTAACGTCGTAGCTACCATAGCGTCATAGCTATACTATAGCGTCATAGCTATACTATAGCGTCATAGCTATATCACGCCATTTCAGGTGGATCAAGACAGCAAGGGATAGGCATTCTATATATGGTCTAACAACCGACAGTGGTTGGGTTCCATCACAATTTATATATACATTTCAATTCAGTAGATTTAGAAGGTTCTACGTTCTTAAGATTCTAAACACGAATAAAGATAATATTTCAAAAGCGTCAGAAAGTACACTCACCTTTCTCTCGAAGGTCTTGTATAAACTGACTTTCTGGATTGTACGTATTCAAAGGTTTTCCGTGACTGGCAAGATCCAATTTTAATGCATGCTGACAACTGCAGAAAAGCAACTCCAATAAGAAAAAGCAACCATCTCCTGTCTGTCACACAATTCTTGACTAGATGTTGCTAATACTTCTATACCTGCGGTAGTTTATCTGCGACAAACATTAACCAATATTTCATAAACAATCTCTGCACGAACTCGACTTTCGGTCTAATTACACCGAATACAAAAATTTCGGACATTACGCTCTCAAAACAGATAAATATCAAACAATTATCATGCAGTAATTCTTCGCCTGTAGGCCGTGTTACACCCTCACTCATCGAGTGCGACAACCAAATTTTTTATCACTGATCAAAGAAAGTAATTTCTTAATCGATAAAAAGATCTAAGGTAAAACACTGAAAATAAAGCTCTTATTCGTGTGGAAATACCGCCTTGGGAATGTTATGACTTAGATTGAGATCTCCACTAAAGGCCGTTCGAGTGAGCTTTTAGAATACAGGCATAAGGCTGTCACAACTGATATCTTAGGTTTAGCATTATAGCTGCTCGCTTTGTTACTCAGTGAATCTCATAGGATGTTACTGACATCCGGCTGATACCTAATCAAATCCTCTCTTAACTGCTTGCGGTTTTAAAAGTACATATAAATTTCGTTCGATCTTGCATTAACCAGCAACACGGTAGAGTACAATTGAAAGTGAGTTCACCGTTAAGCTTCAGACTGTGATACATTTACACGTTTAATTTGTTTTAATGTTATATACCTATTTTTCATTTTGCATCTGCGATCTAGTTATTTAACAATATCATCGAACTTACCTGGTTTATTATAATGATACGGCATCAATATTTCTCTCCAAACCCGTTTTGTAAAATTGGTCAGCCTGTTGTCTTGCTTGGGTTACCGGCAGCTTGAGATCAGAGTTCTGCTGCTTCAAAACATTCATTTCTTCGCTGGCCCGACGATTCACTGTTGTCAACTGATAGTGAAGTTGATCAATGTTTAGTTGCTTCTGACGAACCTGGAAAGAGAAAGAGCGTTGATCATCAATAATCGACACAGCTTTCTAAAATCCATGCAGGAATGTAGCACTCGAATACCAGCGCCATTTACACTATAGACTAAATTTATCGGCACGGCACGGATAAAATTGTTACCAGTGCCCAGTTCTATTAAGTTTTCAGGCTATATATACAGGGTGTATCAAAAAATGTCAAATGTAAAATTTCCGTTTTTCAGGATATTTTGCAGAATTTGGCAAATTTTTGTGTTCCTAGAGATAGTTAAGACTTATCTGGTATATCTAGGCAAAGTTTGGTTTTTCATTAACAAAATTATGTTACCGGGGGGGGGTTCCTTTCCACTGATATTGAGAGGGCTTGCGCGTGAAAATGTGAAGCTGAAATTGAGATATTATTTAGCTGTATAAGAGTAGGAAAGCTTTTTAATAAAGTTTCAGGAAAAATAATACATACTGGTAGCAACGCGCGACCCCTAAAGGTGACAAATATTTCATTGCGCGCAGTGGATTAAATGCATCGTTGATTTTAGCGTGACCGATCTCATGTAAGGCTGGGCAAATGAATAAATTAAAGCGAGAAACTGAACACAAAAACAAAGCGATTTATTCGTGATGTTAACCCTCAGCATGTCCACCATTTCATTCTACGCTTGTCTGAGCATGCTAAACACTGAACAGTGGACCGTTTGTCTGTCCATTCGCCTAGATTTGCCGGTGGTAGTGTAGGCGATTTGCAAGAAAGAATTTCGAACGAAATGGATAATTTGAGGCAAGACAGACAAATGGTTCGCCGTTCAGTGTTTACCATGCTCACACGAGCCGCAGTTTGCTTAGAAAGAAATGGTGGAAATGTTGAGGATTAACATCACGAATAAAAATCTTGTTATTAAATCGCTTCGTCTTCTTGTTTCGTTTCTCGCTTTAATTTATTCATTTGCCCACCTTGTATGAGATCGGTCACGCTAAAATCAACCATGCATTTAATCCACTGCTTGCAATAAAATATTTGTCACTTTTAGGGGTCACGCGTTGCTCCCAGTTTGCATTATTTTTCCTGAAACTTGACAATTTATTAAAAAGCTTTCCTACTTTTAGACAGGTAAATAATATCTCAATTTCAGCTTCATATTTTCGCGCGCAAGCCCTCTCAATATCAGTGGAAAGGAACACCCCCCGGTAACATAACTTTGTTAATGAAAAACCAAACTTGGCCTAGGTATACCAGATAAGTCTTAACTATCTCTAGGAACACAAAAATTTGCCAAATTCTGCAAAATATTCTGAAAAACGGAAATTTTACATTTGGGACATTTTTTTGATACACTCTGTGTATATATATATATATATATATATATTATATATATATATATATATATATATATATATATATATATATATATTATATATATATTATAAATGTCAAGGAAACAAGGCAAATTACTCAAGAAAACTATATCACCAGAGAAAAACTTACTGTGTTACCAGTTTTGCCCAGTTCATGGAAACAAGGCAAATTACTAAGAAAACTATATCACCAGAGAAAAAACTTACTGTGTTACCATTTCGTAAGGTTTTTAGCTCGGTTATTAAGCCTTAGACTACATTTGCAATAGCGACTTACTTGTTTAGCGTTGGCCAACATTTCTTCTTTTTCCCGAGCAAAGCGATCCAATTCGGCATGTTTCCTTTTAAAATCCTCCTGTAAGTTGTCTCCCATTCTCCTCATATTTTCCAGTTGTGCTTCGAGATCTGTGACCTTATACTTATGAGTGTTTTCCAAATCAGAAAGCATCCAATCTTTTTCTTCAAGCCTTCTTCAGCTCCCGAGTTCTCAGTTCTCTCTTGTCGAGTTCCTCTTTACATCGACGACTATCACATCGCATTAACTCCAGTTCTTTTGTTAAACTTCAGATCTAAAAAAACCTGTCAATTATTAAAGACAAGTGACAATGATCGACAAACCATCCCACAAAGCACTTTCTAGATATGTACTTTAAACCAAAAGCCTAATTTATGACGGGCAATTAATTTATACGTTTGGCTCGGTAGTCTCGTTTGACCAAATGCACTCGTTTAAGCATCTAGACTACATAGGTAAAATTTAGCTCAGAGAGCGAATTCCTAAATTCGTCAAGAAGTTAGGGAAAAAGCGAAACCTTGTTGGTAGCAAGATAGTTTAACTGAGGAAAACAGTTACACACACACCTTGTATGTTTACAATGCACAACATGTAATATTCTTAGTATTAGTCATCCACAAAATGGCCTTAAACAACTGGTCTATGTGGTGAAATAGTTTAAAGCCACAACATGTAGTGTTTAAAGTGCACAGGAGGTTTTTTGGAGAGAGATGAAAAAAAGGTCCAAGGAGAAGGGAGCTTCAGTAATAAAATGGTGGTAATATTGTATTTGAGGTATATATTGGCAAATGGAAAGCATGCAGATAGGCCTGTAGTTGTAATGAGTATAAATTATTACCTTAAGGTCATTTGACAATAAGAGACTTCTTGTTTCATCCAGTTTTGATCGATATTCTTGTTCTCTTTTTCTTATTGCTTCATCAAAATTACTGACATTTTCTGGATGACGAAACTCACAATCTTTTTCTGTTGCTCTAAAAAATCAAAATGTTGATTTTTAACCAATATTTTAAAAAATGCTTTATTAACATAATCACTGTAACTCATTGTTAATTATAGCCTCAGTAAGTTCTCAAAGTTCATAATTGCACATTGGCATACATTGCATGTAATATATCTCTACTGATACTAAAAGGTAGTTTACAGTGACTTCTTCACATCAGTTCTGCTTGTAACAATATGGGTAGACTACTTGATTTAAAATTTCTGAAATTTAGCACATTTTTTACTTTTCGGAACATAAACTCCAGCTCTCATTTAGAACTATAGCAAACCAAAATAGTGTCAACTATTCTGACTGCTCTTGATATTTTTAGAAATGTAGTGAGTGAAAATGTAAACAAGGTGTTTGTTTAAACATGGTTTACATTAATTAGCATCAGTGTACCCTACCTTTAGAGTTCATTAATTATGATCACCTAAAATTTAAATGTCTTTAAGAGCTCTGATGGTATTCCAGTTACAAACAATGATTGCATGAGGTGAACTAGATTACCTTAATTGTAGCTCCAGATTTTTCCGATAAGACGAAAGCTCCTCCCGTTCTTTAGCAACTACATTATCTTTCTCTTCTTGAAAAGCTTTAAATTGATTCTGATATTCTTGCAATCTCTAGACATAATTAACCATATCATTTGTTGAACATATCAGAATTAAACATATAGCTAGTGAAGAAAGACAAGCAGAAGAGAAAGCTTGCAGCTCAGCTGCAGCTATTCTGGAACAGTTCTAATTATGCTTAATGGCTGCCCAGTTTGTTCTCAGTCAATTACAGGGTTGCTTTTCGTTGCTAGCATATCACAGGATAAATTTATTCTTGCACATATGTACACGTATACAGCACAACTATATGTAACGATTGAAATTCAACAAAACTTCATAAACCTTATCGGAGGACTAACTACATAAGGCAACGAAAGGAGTGCCCCAATTAGTGAAAAATTGTTGCCTGCTTCTTGTCATAACAAAGTAAAGTGGGTTTCTTTTTTAAATAAAATTGTTGTGTAACATTTATGTTTTCGTTCCTATACAACAAAACACTTAATGTACACTACCTTTGGAAATAGTGAGTTATGTTTTCCCTTCAGTCAGACTCTTGGAAAAACAAAATTCACCATTTCCCTCGGGAGCATACATTAAGTGTATATTACACAATTGTAACTTCTCTTCATGTAAATATAAGACAGTTAGCTTTTATATATTTATCTTTTATCAAATGTAATTAATTTCATCTTCACAATTTAATATTAGACACCAATGTCACTATGTTCAACTATATTGCACCAAGCCATTGCAACTAGGGGTTTAAATTAAAAAGCCTGTTAAAGGTTTTAACAGACTCCTAGCTCAATTAATTTTATCCTGTTTTCATTTAAATATTTTTGTATGCAGAATCGATTCATCAAAATAAAAAAATTAAAAAATTTACCTTTTGGTAGTGTTTCTGTAGCTCCTCTTTGGACTTCTGTTCATTTTGTAATTTGATGTTGAATTCATCAATCTTCACACACAATTCACTAACTTGAGCAGTCTTAACGTGCTCTCTTCCTTAACTTTACCAATCACCGTATCATATTTCTCTAACTCTTGATCTCGTTCTAATATAGGTTTGAAGTTATACTCAAAATCATCCTTCAACTTACGAAATCTCAACTTTTCCTAGTGTCTGAACTCCCTATCTTTTTCAGCTATAGTTTCTTCCAGTGCCTGAACTCTGAGTTGAGAAGCTTCACGCCATTCTTTTTCCTTCTGTAAAACCACGGAGTCTGAATCGTTTGCAGACATTGGTATTTGCAGCATATTAATAACACATTGAGTGCACGAAGGTCATGCCAACTTCAGCACAGTTTGCTGATATATTTCGACAGTTTGCGATTGTTTTGCGGCGGACAGTACATCTAGTATAGTATATACAGCGATTAGCCCGCCTATTTAAGCTTCATATTGTGCTAAAATACATTCATTGAAGAAAAATTTCTAGTTTCTATATAATATTTTTCTTTGATTTGGTAAAGCTGTTTTGTGCATTGATCGCCCCACGTGTGTCACGCAAAACTACGCTGGTCCCGCGTGGTCGGAGATTACGTAAGAATAGATACATAGGCGTACATACGCTTTGATCAAATTTTAAAATCCAATCCTGGAAGTCAACCTGTTCATACGATCCAATTTTGTCGGATTGAATTCACTTCTGATGAAAGTTTTATAGTTTGTTGAGTTGCAATATATGTGAAATTTATAAGACGCTTTATGATGTCATGATCTCAGATCAGCTGGTTAGTCATGGCTTCAAATACGTCAAAAGGCGCCTGCACAAACTGAGTAGTTCTAAACTCAACATTTTTTAATGTAAAACGGGCAAAAATAAAAATTCTAATTGATTTTGACGAAAAAACAAATGCATTTTTACATTGAAATAATGAACTAACTAAAATTTTTCAAATGCCGCAGTTATATGATATGAAGGATATGATAAGCCAGTCTTCAGTGAAGCAAAGGATATGGCTTCTTATTCGTTGATTTTTTCACTCAGATTACCTGGGTATGCAATGCCGTAGAGGGTGACTGACTTTTTTTTCATCCATACCATTCCATCATTTAATGTATGTTCGCCAAAAAAACACCCCAGACAGGTTTGTGAAATTAGTACTTCCGTTTTGGACAAAAGATGTCGGATCGGCGTAAATTCTTCTTTCAACGAGAGCAACCCCCCCCCCCCCTATCACGTACCAATTTGTGTCTAGATTTCACCGTTTTGGAAAAATGATTTCACGAACAATTAAGGGGTGTCGCATTGCTATTCATTGTCAAAACGTGAACATTGATGCTAGTTGCTCAGCCTTCACAAAAGTTGCTCTAAACTACCTGGAAATTTTTTCAATAATAATCATTTCTATATGACGCATTTCTCGTTTTTTGGGTTTCGCTTTTATTTTGTGGAGCAATGCAGACGAGGCGTAGAAACTTCCCGCCCCCGTGTCGATTACGGCGCGACATTTAACACTATTTATATTAACAACTACGACAGGATAAACGACAGAACTATAAGACTAAGTAGCATGTCATTAAAGGGCGCAGCAGGAGGCTTCGTATCACCCGGGAGGTCACAAATCAAGGTATGATGTCTACGCTTACATTTGGTACAAAAATCGGCTTCGGCAATCAGAAGCACAATGATCGGCACGGTTAAAACACAAATGCTTATCGCTTAGATACTTCTTTCGTTCCGCAGACGTAACCTTTAATACGCCTTAAACGGCGTTCACAACACGGATCGAGTAAACAAAAAAAGCGGGCTGTGTCAGTGTGTCGTTTTGCTTGCGTACATTCGAATATAATTTTGATCAAGTCACAGAATATGTATGCATGCAGTGTCGTTTAGCTTCGATCGAGTATGCTCGGAAAGCGTACATTCACATATACCTGGGTGCACATATTAAAACGCACCGTATGTTCGTATGTCCGAAACTGTCCTCGCACAAAGAAACAGAAATTGAATAAAAGCTAATAAACGGTCACAAATAGTCCAAATTGATTTACCAAAATCAAGCCGGATTCGCCGCGTGGAAGAATTAAGTCTTGCGCGTATTTACCGTTTGACTTTTATTTCAAAGCTTTGGCATATTTAGTGTTTCAAAGCGATCTTTCTTCCGTCATTCTCAATGGCGTAGGGAATACCGAGATGGGGGGCGGGCTCTAACTAATAGAAAGGGCAATTAAAAATTGTATAGGGACGGTTTTTAAAGCACCAAAGACACGACTAGTAAGTAGTGACGTAGTGTGGTTATATTCATCATGGTCTACACAAAGATTAGGAACGGGTAAGTGGGCGTACCTGTAGGCCCTGGGCGTACATTGGAAACAGAAAAGGCCACCTTCGATTTTAAAGTTGTATTTACAGAATTACCATTTCCAAAAAGGCATTTTTCACCAAAACCCCGGCACTAGGATTTTTTTTTTGGGGGGGGGGGGCACGTGCGTAGTATCAAAAATTCTTCGTCGTTACTGATAATTTCGAAATCACTTGCTTCTTATGTCCCGCGTTGAATAAATGACTTGGTATAAATACTTTGATGATGATAATTTTGTTTCTTGTCTAAAACGCACAAAACTGAATCTTATTCCTAGCTTTTACATTGTAATATCAACGTGAAATTCGCCATACGCCTAGTTATATGCCGCCCAGGTGAAGAAAATGGTTACGGTGCGATTGTTTTGTATTTTTAATCTGCATTACAATTTTATTTCATATTTAAATGCCAGGACACATTAAACGAATGTTTAGTCCACTTGTTTTTGGTACATTTTGAAGTACAAGTTTAACTTATATCTTATCAATGAACATGCATGTTTTGTTTCAACAATTCCAATTGAAAATTTCCCAATATGCTTATAACCGACCGGAGTGTGCCCAGACGTTTTGCCGCAGTATTCTGGGGCCCGGTCACGTGTCACTACCCTACATGTGCAACAGAAGCTACGCGTCATGACTATACGAAAAATGTATTCAATTCATTCTTACAGTAATTTATTTCGACTAACGTCTATATATTAATGCCATTTTAATAGATATACCAAAACATTCTTCAAATACCTTTATATTTCAACAATTCAGCTCTCAGCTTATTTCCCATTTTAATCAACTGTTTTCGTTCTTTTGTTAATCCATTAATCCGTTGAGCAGCTTGACGTAGTTTGGTGTGTAATCCTTCAGCTGACGATACAACTCCCTTCATACCAAAGATTTCTGAAAAAAAGAGGAAAACGTTTAAAATTCAAATCCTGACTAAATCATTCAAATTTTATGAAGTGAATTTAAAGTTTGTTATGTGTTGATGAGAAATTTTAGGTTTTCAAGCCGCAATCAATTTACTGTTTTGGAAAAGGTCGTAATTTACCAATTGTGAACGGTTTGGAATGAAATAAATCTCCATAGACAGGCGTCATAGCTATATCACGTTATTTTAGGTGGACCAGGACAGCAAGAGATATGCATTCTATATATGGTCTAACAACTGACAGTGGTTGGGTTACATCATGCACGATCTATACGTTTCAATTAATTCAGTAGATTTAGAATGTTCTACGGCAGTCGTGATTATTAAGATTCTAAACACAAATAAAGATAGTATTTCAAAACCGTCAGAAAGTACACTCATTTTTCTCTCGAAGGTCTTGTATAAACTGACGTATATCAAAGGTTTTGCGTGACTGGCAAGATCCAATTTTAATGCTGACAACTGCAGAAAAGCAATGAGAAAATGCAATCATCTCCTGCCTGTCACACAATTCTTGACTAGATGTTGCTAAAATTTCTAGGTAGTTTATCTGCGACAACCATAACCCATACTTTTCATAAACGATCCCTGTAGAAACTAGAATTTCTGTCTAATTACACCGAATACAAAAATTTTGGACATTACGCTCTCAAAACAGATAAATGTCAAACGATTATCAGTAGTTCAGCTTCCGTATCCACACTATCGCCTGTAGGCTGTGTTACTTGTCATCACCGATCAAAGAGAAAGTTATTTCTTAGTTGATACAAAGATTTAACGAAAAACACTGAAAATTAAGCTCTTATTCGAGTGGAAATACCGCCATGGAAATGTTATGACTCCCACTCATAAAATTTGAGTGAGCTTTTAAAATACAGAATTTCTTCGCTAACTCGAACCCCAGGGCAAAGGAAAATTGTCGAGTTACCGCGGGGGTTCGAGTTTACCGGAGTTAGTGTAATATTACATTTATTATATATAAGTAATACAATAAGTTATAAAATCCAATCGAATCATTCTTCAAGAGATATCATGCCTACCATGCAATATGGTCACCGAAACTGGACGACATTTTAAAATTAAAAAGATCGAGTGTGTGTTAAAAAAATTCAATGTGTTAACATATTCAATTTACGCTTTGGCTTTGGTTAGTATATTCAATTTACGCTTGCATTTAAAAACAATTTATATTCACAGAACGCCGAAAGAAGAGGAATAAGATCATAAGTCCGGGCTAGCATGCAAATTAGCAAACATATTTTAATGCAAGCGGATATTAGAAGCCAATTTGACAAAAATACTAGCTAATCGCAATTTTTTCCATTTATGAATGCGTGATTATAATCCAGATTTCAATTTTTTAAACGGTGTTTAAGAAAACCGGAGATTATTTTAATGTCTGTAATGTTTAACACAAGTGAAAACCCGTTGTTCGAGACTGAATGAAATTTACCTTGTGCGATAGTTTTTATACATGGGTGCCGTAAAAATGTCTCGTTCGTTGCTAAACAAAGTGGCTCAGATGGCAGATCATTAGATTAAGTTAAAGTGAGCAAATTATCAGTACAATTTATCTACGATGATATTTGCATACATTCAACAACCAAAACATCTAAAGTAGCAAGAAGCTCTTTATAGAATGATGTAGTCAATTTATTAGCACGGGACGGCTAAAATTGGTGCCTGCGTCCAATTTGATGCACAGCAATTTAAAGCACAGCGCATCCATTTTGACCGTGCCAATAGTTTGCAGCTAAAATTTACTGGTTCACTTACTGATCAAAACCAATCTCGTCATATATTTTTTCGGCATTCGCGTCAGTTGATATGAAAATACTTTTTGTCAAGCCAATCAACCACATAATATTCTTTTGAGAGAGCTGTCCTCGCAGCCAGTTCCCAACGACGTGAAATTCTATAACGCCACGCTTCTCTTCACGACGAGCTGCCTCGTCTCGTCCAATGTGTCACCCAGGGTAAAAACCGTGCTGTAAGTACATAGTTTAAACGAAATTGACTTTTTGTTTTGAAATTGACATCTCCGAGACCTTTGTGTAGACCGTAAATATACAGTTGGTATTCAGCCAATAATGAAAACTGTTTAAAGTTTGTCAAATATTTTCACTAAATTCTTCGCAAGCTTCCTTCAGTAAATTAACCTGCACACGCTGGTTTTACTTCTATTTTCAATTTACAACAATTTCATGAAACAACTCTCGTACAACAATCTAAACGATCTCAAAACGCTCTAAGACAGTCTGCATTTATAATAATAATACAGCTCCACACATTTACTTATAGTCCCGGGCCCGGTTGTATCAAGGCCGTTTAGCTTAAACGGCGGATAAGTCAAAATTAAATAATACTCTTACATCTCTCTTGAATGGGTCAACTATCCCGTCCAAAAGGAAAATCGGAATTGAAAAGGCAAGTAAATCTTTGGAACTGTTGTAGAATATGATAAACTGACAAATTCGCAAATATAGTAAATTTAAATCCAGTGGCAATATGGCGTTTTACGGCCATGATATCCTAGTTCGATAAATCTTATTAAAATGGAGCTTTCTTTCAACGTAGGTGTAAAGGGGATTGAAGATTTATAAATGGCTATTCACAGCCAAACTTCGTTCTGTTTGCTCTATACACTTGATCGTATTTCTTCGCTTCACTATCCCGTCCAACAGGAAAATCAGAATTTAAAAGGCAAGTAAATCTTTGAAATTGTTGTAGAATAATATAAACTGACAAATTCGCAAATATACTAAATCTAAATCCAGTGGCGTGCAATATGGCGTTTTACTGCCATGATATCCTAGTTCGATAAATCTCATTAAAATGGAGCTTTCTTTCAACCTAGGTGTAAAGAGATTGAAGATTTATAAATGGCTATTCACAGCCAAACTTCGTTCTACATAAAACACGTGATGTTCAGCTGTTGTTTGCTGTATACACTTCGAATATTCTCATCAAATGTTCTTCGCTTCACTATCCCGTCCAACAGGAAAATCAGAATTTAAAAGGCAAGTAAATCTTTGAAATTGTTGTAGAATATTATAAACTAACAAATTCGCACACATCCTAGTTCGATAAATCTCATTTAAATGGAGCTTTCTTACAAGGGTATTATGTGTATATGAAAGAAAACAACCTGTATTTTTTTCTATATATTCTTGTGTTACAGATATCACAAAATACATACTGTACTACAGTAAAGACCCTCTGTGATTTATATACAATCATAGTTTCAATTGTATGAAAATGATGTTCTTGTAATCTCCATTGTAGAGCAAAGGCCGCGCGAATCATTTGTTTTATGTTTATCAACTCGAACTAGAACACGCGATTGGAACAAGATGGCTTCCAGCAATGGGAAATATGTTAAAAATGTAGTGGATATGTACTTGTGTTCTCTTCATATCATGAAAGGGTAAGTAATTTTTGAAATTGTATGCATAAATTGTTTGTCTTAAGCCTTAATTCCACGGGCTAAATTTTCAAGCGAAATGCGAAATATTTCTCCTGCTTCTTTTGAATTGTGAGCAATGATGCATAATTAATTTATTCAAGCTGTCGAAATTCAAAAGAAACAGACGAAATATTTCGCATTTCGCCGAGAAAAGGCGCCCGTGGAGTTAGGCCCTTAGAGTTAGGCCCTTAGAGTTAATATGTGGATATCAACATGTTTCATTGTGAATTTTAAAATTTAGAGAATGGCATCGACGATATGCCTATAGAAATGTCCATTGCAATAATCTGTTTAGTAAAACTCTTGAAGGCTGCTGAACGGCGTTTGCATCAGCGCAAATAAAAAAATAAAACAATGCTGGCAGCAGATCATGACGTTTGTTTGCCCCAGCAACCCTTTTGGACTATAATATGGTTGACATCTAATATAGGATTTCTTCATTTGTCACCTACATTCATTGAAATCTACAAAAGCTTTATAAAAACTAATAGCACTATTATAGAGCACCTGTATTATATATATTTTTGGAAGAAACCATGTATTTTTGCACCATATCAGTGATGACATAAGCCTTATATGGGGGGCACCTGTTCCTCAACACACACAGTGCCCCCCTGGCAAAAATCCTGTTTACAGCCTTGGGGCCAGTTGTTCAAAAGGTGCATGGATAAATTTATCCACTGGATAGTGACCTAATTTTTCAACTGTCGTAAAAAAGCTTTGAAAAACAAGAAAGCTACTTATGACCCTTAAAAAGTATTTTAACTTCACAACTGTGAAGTTAAATCTTGGCTACGCCAAGTGGTGAAGATATGCCATATATAATTGCCTGGATTTTGCCCATAATTGCACACTGAAACCTCCCACCAGATTGTTCAAAAACCTTATCTGCTAAACAGTATCATTACCTGCTCAACCAATATCAGCTATTCAACCATCAGTACCAATCTGGATCTGTATTTAGATATGCTTAAATAGTTGCAATTATAGCATAGTAAATTCATATACCTGCGTAATATATGTTTGTTTCTGTAGGCTAAGATCTCTTGCTTCTTTAGCAATGTTGCACCATTTCGCAGAATGTTTCTCGGTGAGCAGTTTTCGTTTGTTACACTCTCTGCGACCTTTCGAGGTAAAGCTTCAGATGCGGTCGAGCGCTTAATTATGGCGCGCTGTTGACGCATTCTTTCTTCGATGACGCATTCGTTCATTTTGGCCTCAAAGTTGGCTTTTTTTCGTGGCTTTTTCACCGGAAGTGACGTACATTGGAGAACAGAGGGACCTGTACATGAAGAAAGAAAGCTGCTTTTATTTTGCAAAACATCCGGACTATCCCAGTGTCAGATTGGAAAGTGAAATAGATAAAGGCACTATATTATTGATCGCGTCGCGTAGCGACAGCGATCTATAGTTTCGGCTTGGTTTTTTTTTTTATTTTACTCTCGGGTCGACCCCCAGCGTCGCTAGCTGCGGGCCATATCACCCTAATCGGGAACCTGCGCACAGGTAAGTTGCTAGTTATATCACGTGTCACCCGTTTCGCCAGAATGTATCTATTATAATAGCTATGAGATTAGTTTCAGGCGGCGGTTGTTATAGTAGGCAGGTGACTAATCCCGGCCAATCTCGCGCGTCCAATCTGGCATCCAATCGTCCCAGTCCTTCTACTTGAAACCACCACCAACAAACATGGCGGCTGCAAAGGAGTGAAGCCTGAAGGTATTAGTGCATGTACAAAAACAAGAGGAATAGCAGTCTTAACAAACGATCTTATACTTTATCAAATTTCAATTTGATACTTTTTCTTAGTAACAATAAGTATATAAGGTCACGTTATGAAAAGACGGCGTAATTTGAAGCGAACTTTACCGGCGATAGAAATTGTCTCCTTCGGTAGGTCATCCGTTCAGAGAAGAAAAGTTACCCTCACAGCGCCAGAAATTGTGGACTCTAATCAAAGGCGTCAGGTCGGAGATGACGAGGAAACATTTAGAATGGACACGGAGAACCGAGAAACATTTGCAATGAATGATGGACATGAGGGTGATGATGAAGAAGAGAGCGATGATGATCAGGGCGAAGACGAAGTCACCCAGTACCGAAAAAAACAGCAGCGAGCCGCGCAAGGCTGGGAAGATATCCGTGATGCAATGTTACGGGCAGTCGTTGAGTTAGAGTGGATTCCGGATGGTCAACTTTGCAGCAAATGTGCAACATCAGAAGCAAATTTCCGTTGCCTTCAGTGTGGAGCTGGTGTGTACTATTGTGAACAATGTGTGAGTGCAGAACACGCTAACAAGAATGTGTATCATGTAGTAGAGGAGTGGAAGGCAAGTTGTTAGAGTTGGTTGCAGTTTCTATTTCACACTTTGCAAGTAATATCTTATGCAATGTCCATGGATATAATGTTCACCATGATTTATCAAACATTTGGCCAAAATCATTTAAAGGAATGCAAAGTTTCAATCTGTTAATTAGATTTAATCTACTGTGGGTAAATTTATTGAAATTTTTTTCAATGCCCTTATTCTATTAGACCACAGGCATGTACACACACAGCATGCAACTGCATTCTCTTGTTCCAAAATATAGATTATTTATGATGTGTAAGATATATAAACTTAAACAATTTACTTAACAGGATAGAATGTTTCAACCAAGTCAGATTATTGGCACAAGGTTAAATCCTCGCCCAATGCATGCATGCCAAACATTGGAAACAAAATCAATTACTGTTATAAGTGAAAATGGTGAGTACTACATATTTTAAATGTGAATGTGCTATGTGTATTTTTCTGCTAATAATTTAATCACTGCATGAATGTGTAAACAATTGGACAATCAATCTGGCTTGCTGTAAAATATTTTTACTTGTTCCAGACTTCCAGATAAATAACAATAAGACATGAGAATACACTACAAACATACAGATTGCACATTACACCTTTTTAATATTGGTGCCTTAAACATAAGTAGCTGTACAAAGTTGCCTCATCCCTCAAAACTCTTTAACGAGGTGTTACTAATAGGGAAATTAGCAATTATGCTACTCATATGGTTGTGCTATGGGATGTTGGCTACACGGTGCTGATGATCCCCAAGAGGGGCAAAACAGCATTATCACATTAGACTATTAACCTGCTAAACCCATCATAATAATACTGTGTCATCAACTGTATTACCCATGTATTAAGCTTAGCTAGTCAACCCATGAGTATGCCCTCTTCTAGAATGCTCAGTAAGTGCTAGTAAGGTGGCATGATTTAATTTTCCAATAGTATCACAATATTTTTTATTCACAGCCTTTTAATGGAATAATTTATACATACTGTTATTCATCAACAATGGAATAAAGCTTAGAATACATACATAGATACGTTAATATAACTGCATGAGCATCAGAGGTTAATGATAAATTAATAGTCAATGTACATGATGTTATTTCAAGTATACATGAATCTTATTCAGGGATTCCCCATCATGTTGGTATAGTGTCATGCAAATGTGAGCCATTTTCTGTCACATTAACAAGATTGAGACTTTGGCCTACAAGCTGCAAGCAACCATTGTATGCATTTGACTTTCGCCTATTTGACTGGATGGAAGCTATGCTTTTGGAATGTCAGGTTTCCTTACATGACTTTTGCAAAGCATTGCATTTCAAACTACCTCCATATGTAATTGTAAGTAAAAGTATCTTTATCCAGTGGTCTGACAGGTCATCCTGATTAAATTAAACAGTGTTGTTTATAGAGATAATTGGAGAATAATTTGTCCATTGGTATTGTTGCTTTAATGTATCAATACTTGTTTATTTAGAGGAAAAAGATTTATCCGTTAATCATTGATTGTTTTGAAGAGTACAGGTAAATAAAATGACCAAACTATTACCAAACCCAGTGTTCAGCTATCTCACTGCATGTTTTGATTAAAAGTAAATGCTAAAGGTTGAGAATGAATAGTTTACATTGGTACATACTGTAGATTCTTCAAGCACAGACTGCGAACTCTACAATTTACTTGTCCAGAACTGGATTATGGCAACGTTTGTCCTGCTTGCCCTAGGGTAATTGATTTATGCATAGTTATATTTAAATTTAATTTTTCAGCAGAGGCTTATATTATCATGTCTAAAAGGAAAAAGATGTATATTTACATTTTTAAACCATATTCAACGCAGGACAATGGTGTACTGATTGAGTCTTTCGATGCCCTTTTTGGTCTACCTCGGAAAAAAAGTGCAGGATGCAGTGTAAGGGAACCGTTGCATCGTGAAAATATATTCAACAACCAAAAAGAGGTGGACCATTATATTGAAAACTATCCGAGAAAACAGTCGTCTCAGAAGGTTAATGTTAGCACCTGTTATTAATTGCCAGAGACATATATAATTAGCTCTTCAAAACTCGCGCATTGTTTTGAGAAAAATAAGAGTGCATCTGACATGATTGGTTATAGGATTGTAGTGATTTCAAAGCTGGTGATGTTTTACGATCGGCGAGTCAATTTAAAGCACTAGATGAAACTGCAGTGTTTGGGAGTGCCTGCAGACACGGTTTTCCCAAGCAATTTCTCAGCTTAAAGCATGGAGAAAGGTATGTATGTATTTTGACATGCTATATATGTATATAATGAGAGTAATATTTTAGTATGATAATGCTTTCCATCGAAATTTCAGAATTGGGTATGCAGTATGGCTTATTAAAAAGATAGCCAATGACAACGACGGGAGAAATATAGAAATGAAAATTATGTACGACATTGCTTGTTTGCTCAAAAGACATTTGCAAGTATGTCAGTTTTGGTTTGCTACTAGCGTCTTAAATTAAAAACGTATGCCAGCCATTCAAATTTTCAAATTGTTGGAGAAAGTGAGAAAAAATGTCCCAAATTAATGTTAACTCGAATTTGGGTACATTTTTTAGATAACCTGAATAACAACTAATGTTATGCTTTATTTTTATGCTTTATACATATTTTTTATTTTATGCTCTCAATTATAGGCATCTGGACAAGAAAATTTGCTTGAAAGCATAACACTGGCCGTACCTGCATTTCATATTTATGGCCACAAAGGCTCTTGCCAGGTATATACATACTGTACCAGCCCGAAACTATGTATATCTTAAATGGAACAGGGTAGGTCGGTATCTTTTTATACATGTCATTTAGCTCAACTTCTCATCGTTGCTTATCTGTAGCTTCAGTATAGCCCAAGACGTGTTGATGGTTTTGGGTTAACAGATGGAGAACAACTTGAGCGTTTGTGGTCATATCTTCGTCGATTTGGCAAGATGACAAAGGAAATGCGGCCATCACATAGAATAGATGTCTTGAGTGATGCTATTCTTCATTATTCCCGACAATGTAAAGACACATTGGGTAAGAAGTAATGTATCATGAAACGAGTTAGGCTGCTGTGATGGAATCTATATACGCCCGGTTTTCTTACCTACGCACATGCATGTAATTCACATGTATAAATGTCTTTAGGGCTGATTAAACTTTTTTTATTAGTTTCAAAATTAATTAAAAATTGGAAGAGAGCAACTGATTGTATCGAGGCCAGCAGCAAAAGTCTTTCTCAGCTGTCAAAAAACTCGCCAGGTACATGTACTGCATGTATTATTGGCATTCGAGGTATTCTGTATAGTAAGGTGCATAGATCACCCTGTATTGAGGTTGATTCCAAAGGCTAATTATTACACTTTGTCTTCATTTTCCAGTCGAGTTAACAGAGTCGCTTATACAGCAACTGGCCGAAACTGAACGTCAACGTTTATGTGGTGGGGAAGGATATACATACCTAATTGTTTTGCGCCTTCACACTTTAAATATCGGATTTGTTATATTTAGGAATGAGAAATATGTACAACAAAATACAACTAAAATAATGATTTTCATTCTAGGTACACGAGAAGAGCTCGGAGAAACCATCACAGCAGAAAGTCAAACGTGGGAATCCATTTACGTGGATAAGTTAAAAACTTATTACACGCTAAGGTATACTTTTTAACCTTTTTTAAAAGTGTTAAATAACAGGGAAATTTTAAATAAATACACGCTATATACATTGCTTGCAGTTTATGAATTGTGAATGGAGTGAAAACATGGCCTTAAATAGACTTAAATACCTTACTCTTTTAACATCGTTTAGAGATAATTTATGTGAAGAGGGATCTACCGAAGATGAAGTGATGACAGATGTTGTAAAACGAATTTCCAGGTAGAAGAAAACGAGAAGTTAAAAATTTTTTAAACTGTCCTATTCATTGGAAATTCCTTCATAATGTTTCAGACTCGATAAGGAGCTTGATGCTATCGAAAGGTCACATGCAGTTACCGTTCGATGGACCCGTAACAACGAACAATACCAAAATGTGTTTCAAATGCAAGTTATTTTGAAATGCAAGCAGCTCCTTGAAAAAATGAAGCCGGTGTCTCAAGAACGCCTCTTTCTGCTGAAAATTAAAGAGAAGTATTCTGGTAATATTCAGGGGAGAAAACCTAATTATTATTACTGTCCAAACAGTTGAGTTGAGAAACAGGAAGAGTTAAAACAAGACTAGGCATGTGTAAGAGAGGAACCAATATTGTTTGGTCAAACGAAAACAATAGTTGAAAACCTTAAACGTGACCACAAAAGATTTTTTAATTTAAGTATATTTTGGTTTTAGATGGTCATGCTTTGTCAAAGAAACTTGCTAAGCAAGTGAAAAAATCCGACAAAAAACTAAAAGAAATGGTAATTCAACATAATTCTTTCCGTGATTGCCTATCGGTAGAAAACAGGCATAATATCAAAGAACTGCAAGTTAGTGATTTAAGACTTGAGGTTGAAGGTTTGCTCGGTGCTGTGGAGGATGAGAGAGTTGCTGCTGATCGAATACCTTGTTCTGTTCGACGTCAAGCGATTGACATGCTCCATCTCTTGCACCGGAGCAAGGAGGAAATTCAACTTGTGGAGCTGGAAATGAATAGAGTGTTCATCTATTTTCAAAGTGAGGAGAGTCATTTGGCCACGCAAATTGAGCAACTTCTAACTGACAGCAATGCTACATCCTACACAACTGGTTCCATTTCGTTATTAAAATCAACGCAGAAAATTCTACAACGTCGGCTTCTCGAAATGCATGCTTCTCTGAAGACCTATGTCAACCTACCAACTCTGGAATTTGTTTCTTCCTTCCCAAATGACAGTTGCTCAATAGAAAATTACAATGAGTCCAGTGACAGTTGCCCAGATGAAACGACAACAGATGATGATTCCGAAAACGAATAGCCACTTTAAGTAAATAGCTATGTCCAAAGTTAATTAGTCTTCAAAAGTTGTGTATTGTGTAATTAATAAATGTTTTAATCCTTTAAAAAATCTTCAGGTTTCAAATTACACGCAAAGAATCACGTACCAATCCAGTTAGTAAAACAATTCCTGAGATTGGAATTACATGCCAATCCTGCTATTATAACAACTACAGAGATTACGTAATTCTAATCTCATTAGTTCTTATAATAGCAGGATTGGCATGTAATTCCAATCTCAAGATTTGTTATACCAACAGGATTGGTGCGTCACTCTAATCTCATTAGTTTTTATAATAGCAGAATTAGGCATGTAATTCCAATCTCAAAATTTGTTACACCAACAGGATTGGTACGTGACTCTAATCTCATTAGTTCTTATAATAGCAGAATTGGCATGTAATTCCAATCTGAAGATTTGTTATACCAACAGGATTGGTACGTGACTCTAATCTCATTAGTTCTTACAATAGCAGAATTGGCATGTAATTCCAATCTGAAGATTTGTTATACCAACAGGATTGGTACGTGACTCTAATCTCATTAGTTCTTATAATAGCAGGATTGGCATGTAATTCCAATCTGAAGATTTGTTATACCAACAGGATTGGTATGTCACTCTAATCTCATTAGTTCTTATAATAGAAGAATTGGCATGTAATTCCAATCTGAAGATTTGTTATACCAACAGGATTGGTACGTGACTCTAATCTCATTAGTTCTTATAATAGCAGAATTGGCATGTAATTCCAATCTGAAGATTTGTTATACCAACAGGATTGGTACGTGATTCTAATCTCATTAGTTCTTATAATAGCAGAATTGGCATGTAATTCCAATCTCAAAACTTGTTATACAAAGGATTGGTACGTGACTCTAATCTCATTAGTTCTTATAATAGCAGGATTGGCATGTAATTCCAATCTCAAGATTTGTTATACCAATAGGATTGGTACGTGATTCTAATCTCATTAGTTCTTATAATAGCAGAATTGGCATGTAATTCCAATCTGAAGATTTGTTATACCAACAGGATTGGTACGTGATTCTAATCTCATTAGTTCTTATAATAGCAGGATTGGCATGTAATTCCAATCTCAACATTTGTTATACCAACAGGATTGGTACGTGATTCTAACCTCATTAGTTCTTATAATAGCAGGATTGGCATGTAATTCCAATCTCAACATTTGTTATAACAACAGGATTGGTACGTGACTCTAATCTCATTAGTTCTTATAATAGCAGGATTGGCATGTAATTCCAATCTCAAGATTTGTTATACCAATAGGATTGGTACGTGATTCTAATCTCATTAGTTCTTATAATAGCACGATTGGCATGTAATTCCAATCTCAAGATTTGTTATACCAACAGGACTGGTACGTGACTCTAATCTCATTAGTTCTTATAATAGCAGGATTGGCATGTAATTCCAATCTCAAGATTTGTTATACCAATAGGATTGGTACGTGATTCTAATCTCATTAGTTCTTATAATAGCAGGATTGGCATGTAATTCCAATCTCAAGATTTGTTAACAGGACTGGTACGTGATTCTAATCTCATTAGTTCTTATAATAGCAGGATTGGCATGTAATTCAAATCTCAACATTTGTTATACCAACAGGATTGGTACGTGATTCTAATCTCATTATTCCTATAATAGCAGGATTGGCATGTAATTCCAATCTCAACATTTGTTATAACAACAGGATTGGTACGTGACTCTAATCTCATTAGTTCTTATAATAGCAGGATTGGCATGTAATTCCAATCTCAAGATTGTTATACCAATAGGATTGGTACGTGATTCTAATCTCATTAGTTCTTATAATAGCAGGATTGGCATGTAATTCCAATCTCAAGATTTGTTATACCAACAGGACTGGTACGTGACTCTAATCTCATTAGTTCTTATTATAGCAGAATTGGCATGTAATTCCAATCTGAAGATTTGTTATACCAACAGGATTGGTACGTGATTCTAATCTCATTAGTTCTTATAATAGCAGGATTGGCATGTAATTCCAATCTCAAGATTTGTTATACCAACAGGATTGGTACGTGATTCTAATCTCATTAGTTCTTATAATAGCAGGATTGGCATGTAATTCCAATCTCAACATTTGTTATACCAACAGGATTGGTACGTGATTCTAATCTCATTAGTTCTTATAATAGCAGGATTGGCATGTAATTCCAATCTCAACATTTGTTATACAACAGGATTGGTACGTGACTCTAACTCATTAGTTCTTATAATAGCAGGATTGGCATGTAATTCCAATCTCAAGATTTGTTATACCAATAGGATTGGTACGTGATTCTAATCTCATTAGTTCTTATAATAGCAGGATTGGCATGTAATTCCAATCTCAAGATTTGTTATACCAACAGGACTGGTACGTGACTCTAATCTCATTAGTTCTTATAATAGCAGAATTGGCATGTAATTCCAATCTCAAGATTTGTTATAGCAACAGGATTGGTACGTGACTCTAATCTCATTAGTTCTTATAATAGCAGGATTGGCATGTAATTCCAATCTCAACATTTGTTATACCAATAGGATTGGTACGTGATTCTAATCTCATTAGTTCTTATAATAGCAGGATTGGCATGTAATTCCCATCTCAAGATTTGTTATACCAACAGGACTGGTACGTGACTCTAATCTCATTAGTTCTTATAATAGCAGAATTGGCATGTAATTCCAATCTCAAGATTTGTTATAAACAGGATTGGTACGTGATTCTAATCTCATTAGTTCTTATAATAGAGATTGGCATGTAATTCCAATCTGAAGATTTGTTATACCAATAGGATTGGTACGTGATTCTAATCTCATTAGTTCTTATAATAGCAGGATTGGCATGTAATTCCAATCTCAACATTTGTTATACAACAGGATTGGTACGTGATTCTAATCACATTAGTTCTTATAATAGCAGGATTGGCATGTAATTCCAATCTCAACATTTGTTATACAACAGGATTGGTACGTGATTCTAATCTCATTAGTTCTTATAATAGCAGAATTGGCATGTAATTCCAATCTCAAGATTTGTTATACAACAGGATTGGTGTGATTCTAATCTCATTAGTTCTTATAATAGCAGGATTGGCATGTAATTCCAATCTCAACATTTGTTATACCAACAGGATTGGTACGTGACTAATCTCATTAGTTCTTATAATAGCAGGATTGGCATGTAATTCCAATCTCAACATTTGTTATACAACAGGATTGGTACGTGACTCTAATCTCATTAGTTCTTATAATAGCAGAATTGGCATGTAATTCCAATCTGAAGATTTGTTATACCAACAGGATGGTACGTGACTAATCTCATTAGTTCTTATAATAGCAGGATTGGCATGTAATTCCAATCTCAAGATTTGTTATACCAACAGGATGGTACGTGACTCTAATCTCATTAGTTCTTATAATAGCAGATTGGCATGTAATTCCAATCTGAAGATTTGTTATACCAACAGGATTGGTACGTGATTCTAATCTCATTAGTTCTTATAATAGCAGGATTGGCATGTAATTCCAATCTCAACATTTGTTATACCAACAGGATTGGTACGTGATTCTAACTCATTAGTTCTTATAATAGCAGGATTGGCATGTAATTCCAATCTCAACATTTGTTATACAACAGGATTGGTACGTGACTCTAATCTCATTAGTTCTTATAATAGCAGGATTGGCATGTAATTCCAATCTCAAGATTTGTTATACCAACAGGATTGGTGTGATTCTAATCTCATTAGTTCTTATAATAGCAGGATTGGCATGTAATTCCAATCTCAACATTTGTTATACCAACAGGATTGGTACGTGATTCTAATCTCATTAGTTCTTATAATAGCAGGATTGGCATGTAATTCCAATCTCAACATTTGTTATAACAACAGGATTGGTACGTGACTCTAATCTCATTAGTTCTTATAATAGCAGATTGGCATGTAATTCCAATCTGAAGATTTGTTATACCAACAGGACTGGTACGTGACTCTAATCTCATTAGTTCTTATAATAGCAGGATTGGCATGTAATTCCAATCTCAAGATTTGTTATACCAACAGGACTGGTACGTGACTCTAATCTCATTAGTTCTTATAATAGCAGATTGGCATGTAATTCCAATCTCAAGATTTGTTATACCAACAGGATTGGTACGTGATTCTAATCTCATTAGTTCTTATAATAGCAGGATTGGCATGTAATTCCAATCTCAACATTTGTTATACCAACAGGATTGGTACGTGATTCTAACTCATTAGTTCTTATAATAGCAGGATTGGCATGTAATTCCAATCTCAACATTTGTTATAACAACAGGATTGGTACGTGACTCTAATCTCATTAGTTCTTATAATAGCAGGATTGGCATGTAATTCCAATCTCAAGATTTGTTATACCAACAGGATTGGTGCCTGATTCTAATCTCATTAGTTCTTATAATAGCAGGATTGGCATGTAATTCCAATCTCAAGATTTGTTATACCAACAGGATGGTACGTGATTCTAATCTCATTAGTTCTTATAATAGCAGGATTGGCATGTAATTCCAATCTCAAGATTTGTTATACCAACAGGATGGTACGTGACTCTAATCTCATTAGTTCTTATAATAGCAGATTGGCATGTAATTCCAATCTCAAGATTTGTTATACAACAGGATTGGTACGTGACTAATCTCATTAGTTCTTATAATAGCAGGATTGGCATGTAATTCCAATCTCAACATTTGTTATACCAACAGGATTGGTACGTGATTCTAATCTCATTAGTTCTTATAATAGCAGGATTGGCATGTAATTCCAATCTCAAGATTTGTTATACCAACAGGATTGGTACGTGACTCTAATCTCATTAGTTCTTATAATAGCAGAATTGGCATGTAATTCCAATCTCAAGATTTGTTATAAACAGGATTGGTACGTGATTCTAATCTCATTAGTTCTTATAATAGCAGATTGGCATGTAATTCCAATCTCAAGATTTGTTATACCAACAGGATTGGTACGT